TTTTTTTTATCCTCACCTGAGGATATTTTTCCATTTTTTGTACAGATAGAGTGGGAGGGAGAGAGAGGAAGGGAGAGAGAGAGAGAAACATCGATGTGAAGGGACACATCGAGTGGCTGCCACCCGCACGACCAACCAGGGCCGGGGACAAACTGCAACTGAAGTACGTGCCCTTAGCGGGAACCGAACCTGGGTCTCTCTGGACCACAGGCCGACGCTCTAACCGCTGAGCCAAACTGGCCAGGGCGGTTTTTATTCTTCATTTTGTTTATGTGGGTATCACATTTATTGATTTGCAAATATTGTACCAGCATTGCATCCCTGGGATGAATCCCACTTGGTCATGCTGAATAATTTTTTTGATGTATTGCTGGATCAGATTTGCTAGTATTTTGTTCAGGATTTTGGCGTCTATGTTTATCAGGAACATTGGCCTGTAGTTTTCTTTCTTTGTAGTGGCTTTCTCTGGTTTTGGAATTAGAATTATGCTGGCCTCATAGAACGAGTTTGGAAGTCTTCCTTCTTGAATTTTTTGAAATAGATTGAGGAGAATGGGTGTTAGTTCTTTTTTGAATGTTCGGTAAAACTCCCCCGTGAAGCCATCTGGGCCTGGGCTTTTGTTTGCTGGGAGAGTCTTGAGAACCCCTTCAATTTCCTTAGTTGTTATTGGTCTGTTCAAGTTTTCTATCTCTTCCCGGTCCAGTTTGGGGAGACTGTTTGTTTCTAGAAATTTGTCCATTTCCTTAGATTGTCGAATTTGTTGCCATATAGTTGTTCATAGTAGCTGTTAACTATCTTTTGTATTTCTGTGGTGTTGGTTGTTACTTCTCCTGTTTCATTACTGATTTTGTGTATTTGGTTTATCTCTCTGTTTCTTGGTGAGTCTAGCTGAGGTTTCATCAATCTTGTTTATCTTTTTGAAAAACCAGCTCTTTGTTTCATTGATCCTTTGAATTGTTTTTTTGGTCTCTACGTCATTTATTTCTGCTCTGATATTTACTATTTTCTTCCTTCTACTTGCTCTGAGGTTTTCTTTTTGTTTGCTTTCTAATTCTTTAAGTTGTGAGGTTAGACAGTCAATTAGAACTTTTTGTTGTTTCTTGAGGTAGGCCTGTAGTGCTATGAACTTCCCTCTCAGAACTGCTTTTGCTGCATCCCATCAATTTTGTGTTCTGTGTTCATTTTCATTGGTTTCCAGAAGTTTTTAATTTCTTCCTTGATTTCCTCGGTAACCCATCCATTGTTTAATAACATGCTATTTAGCCTCCATGTGTTGAAATATCTTTACATGTTCTTATTGCAATTGATTTCTAGTTTCATGCCATTGTGATCTGAGAAGATGCTTGATATAATTTCAATCTTCTTGAACTTGTAGAGATTTAGTTTCTGTCCTATCATGTGGTCTATCTCTGAGAATATGCCATGTGCACTTGAGAAGAATGTGAATTCTGTAGTTTTGGGGTGTAATTCTCTGCAGATATCTATTAAACCCATGTGGTCTAGTGCTTCATTTAGAGTCTCTGTTTCCTTGCTAATTTTTTGTCTAGAGGATCTATCCAGTGGTGGCAACGGGGTGCTGAAGTTCCTTGCTATGATTGTATTGCTGTCGATTTCTCCTTTGAAGTCCTCCAGAAGATTTTTAATATATTTTGGTGCACCTATATTGGGTGCATATATGTTTATCAAGGTTATATCTTCCTGTTGGATAGATCCTTTCAATATTATGTAGTGGCCTTCTTTGTCTCTAGTTATGGCCTTCATTCTGAAATCTATTTTATCAGATATGAGTATTCCTACCCCAGCTTTTTTTTTTTTTGCTTGGAAAATTTTTTGTATCCCTTCACTTTCAACCTGTGTGAGTGTTTTGTTGTGAGGTGGGTGTCTTGTAAACCACATATAGATGATTCATGCTTTCTTATCCCATCAGCTACTCTGGGAGCATTCAATCCATTTACATTTAAGGTGATTATTGATATGTACTTATTTATTGCCATTGTTGTTTTATGTGGTTCTATTTTTCTTCCTATTTCTTCTACTAATTACAGCAGTCCTTTTAACATTTCTTGCAGTACTGGTTTGGTGCTAATGTATTCCTTTAGCCTTTTATTTTGTCTGGAAAGCTCTTTATTTGACCTTCTATTTTGAATGACAGCCTTGCTGGGTAGAGAAGTCTTGGATTCAGATCCTTGTTTTTCATGACCTTGATTACTTCATGCCATTCCCTACGGGCCTGTATTGTTTCTTGTGAGGAGTCAACTGAGAGCCTTATGGGGTTTCCTTTGTAAGTAACCTGTTGCTTATCTCTTACTGCTTTTAGGATTCTCTCTTTGTCTTTAATTTGTGGCATTTTAATTAGTATGTGTCTTGGTGTGGGCCTGTTTGGGTTCTTCTTACTTGGGGTTCTCTGTGCTTCTTGAACTTGAATGCCTTCTTCCTTCACCAAATTAGGAAAGTTTGCTGTCATTATTTCTTTGAGTATATTCTCTAACCATTGCTCATTTTTCTTCTTCTTCAGGGATTCCTATGATGTGAATATTATTACGTTTCCAGTTGTCCCACAGTTCTCTTAAGCTGTCTTCCTGTTTTTGAATAGTTTTTTCCTTTTGGTTTTCTGATTGGTTGATTTTTTTCTACCCTGTCTTCTAATTCACTGATCCAGTACTCACCTTCCTCTACTTTGCTTTTTAGACCTTCCAATGTGTTATTTCTGATATGTCATTTTTGATCTCTTTTTGGTGGTTTTTAATTTCCAATTGGTTTATTTTCAGCATCTCTATGTCCTTACTCATGCTGTTGAGCATCCTCAAGATCATGGCTCTGAATTCTAGCTCTGTTAACCTGCCTAACTGCTCCACATTAACCTGATCTTTGGTGGAGGTCTCTTGTTCTTTCATTTGGCTTTTGTTTCTGTGTTTCACCGTTTTGGCTATCACAGTGGGCTTTGGAGCCTGTCACGTTTTCCCTGTGGGTGTTGGTGTTCTGCTGTTTGTGGCTCCCTCTCCTGGGTTTAGATGAGCGAGGGAGGACCCACGTTAAACACCACTGTCAAGTCTTATTTTCCTGGTTAATGTTGCTAGCCCAGAAAAGGTAATGTTATCCTCTAGCTTTTTGCCTAGAGGCTAGCAGTCGAGGTTACTTGAAGAGTTTTGGGTTGTCCACTGATTGAAAAAGTCCCTCAGGTGCCCAGCATAAGGGGATTTCCCTGGTTGTTAATGAGCCTCAATTAGCATTTCAATGGCCCACAGGGTGTGGTTAGATATCTGAGGGAGGGGCTGCTGCCTCTCCCCAAAGCCCTGGGAAGGAGCAAGATGGCCACTGTCCTGCGTGGCTACAACTCAGCAAAATCTCTGAGCGCCCTCCAAATCCCAAGTGTCCCCACACAGTTCCAGTCCAGTCCGCCCTCCCTCTGCTGGAGCCCAAGGTGAGTGGCTATGGCTTTTTTAGCCTCTGTTTTGGCTCTGTCCTGTGAAGCTGCTTGGGAGTTTAACTCGAGGGTGCCGCTGCTCACAGCCAAGGCCATTGTAGTCTCTGGGCTCCCAGCCCCCATCTTGAGCCTTCGCAATCCTACCAGGATTGAGTCAGTGTCCTGGTTATATGATCCTTGAAAGCTGCTTTCCTGTTGCTTTTTACCATCGATTTGTCTGTGTTATAGTTGTAATTCCAGTTTGGTTCTGAGAGACGGTCTGTGTAGCTTCCGTTCACTCTGCTGCCATTTTGGAATCTCAGACCCTATATTCTTTTTTTTTTTTATCCTCACCCGAGGACATTTTTCCATTTTTTGCACAGACAGAGTGGGAGGGAGAGAGAGGAAGAGGAGAGAGAGAGAGAGAGAGAAACATCGACGTGAAAGGGACACATCGAGTGGCTGCCACCCACACGACCAACCAGGGCCAGGGACAAACTGCAACCGAGGTACATGCCCTTAGCGGGAACCGAACCCGGGTCTCTCCGGACCGCAGGCTGATGCTCTAACCGCTGAGCCAAACCGGCCAGGATTCAGACCCTATATTCTTATATTCAGTAGTTATTGTTGTGATTACTCATCTTTTCCTGAGATACATACACATGAATTCTCTCATGGTTAGTAAAACCCTAATAAAATCACCACACACAGTCAGATTTCACAACAGCAGAACACAGGCTTATTCACTAAGCATATGCTGAAATTATGATATGAACACTGGGTTAAGAACTGTGACACTGCAACAGATCAATGGCCTACTCACAGCTCTTCTAAGTGGCCCTAAAGGAGATGCTAGAAATTAAGCTGGCTTATCATCATTAAGAGTAAGATATGTCTCTCGAACATTGCTGACTTCTCTGAAAGACTCTTGAAAGGATTCATTTCTTCCAACCTAAAACTAACGTAACCACAAGTATAAAGTTGCTGTGTTCCCCAAATGAGATAATGTATGTAAATCTGCTCTATGAAGAGCAATGCCCCATATACATTTAAGAAAGTATACCATCATCTCTGTCATTAAAACCCTCTTTTCACCCACCAAAGGTGTTAAACATGTAGAGTAGAAAGAAGAAATTAACTTTGTTATATCTTTTTAAAAATTTTTTCTTTATTGATTTTAGAGAAAGTCCCAGGGAGAGAGAGATAGAAACATTGACGAGAGAGAACATTGATCACCCACTTCCTGCATGCCCCCACTGGGGATTCGAACTGGTGACCTCCTGGGTCAACGTTCAACCACGGAGCCACACCAGCCGGCTTTGTTCTATCGTTTAGAATTTTCTTCAATTCCATTAGTCGATATTCTCTCTTCTTCCCATTCTTTCATGGTGATATGTTTGTCTTTTCCCCTCAGAATAGAAAATACATTTCCCCACTTCTTTCCTTTACCCCATGTTAACTTTACTTCTGAATCAAATGAAATAGGAATTTCAATATCAAATAAAAGATGTGCATGACACATTTTTCCTGGATACATACACATAAATGGATGCTACTGATTCACAAAACAAACTGCAACACTAAGGCCATGACTTACCTTCTGGCTCACTCTCTGACCCTGAGACACTGCCATAGCTGTTCATTAGTGAGCACAGGGCTGGTGTCACTTCTTTGGGTATGACAGTACTTTGTGGTTTTTCCTCTTTATCAGACTCTGAAAGAAAAAGGAAAAGAACTGAGAGTAAAACAGTATACCTCAAACATCTACCACCATAACAAGAACGCTGACAGCCTCCCAATTACTCCCGTATGTGTTACTAAAAAGAAAGTAATTTCTGATCATTTTCTAAATCTTCCCAAAGAATAAAACCCAGGAAATCTGAAAAATTCCCCTTGGTTTAAATCTTCATGGTCAGAGAAGCTATTTGCCCCAACGAGAAGACACAGGGGCAAATGGAAGCTATACACAGCTCTGTTATTCACAGGTCATGAAATTTGGGCCTTCTTTAAATCAGTTTAATTATACCATCTTTGTTATTAATCTATTTTATTTATGCTATTAATTAATTTTATTAAGATAGTAGAAAGACCAGAAATTTATTTAACTTCACTGGGTTAGGGTCACTGATTCTGAAAATTAGATTTAAGAATAAAATAAATATATCCACCTTTGTTGTTTTTAAGACTGGTTTTAAGGACAGAAATCATATTTATGCCATTCTATAGGCTTAATCAAAGAATTATGCTGAAATAAATCTGCCCAAAGTTTTTATTATTTGGAACTTCTAAGAACTTAAGTAAACAAGCCAAGCATGAGAATTGAGCAAGTACTCAAGTGCCTGCCAAAGGTAAAGTGTTTGATCAGGGCCCAACAAGCCTAGTTACAGCCCCAGGACACCACCTATTACATTTGCTTTTGGCAGCTCTTAAAATTTATTAAATCTATTCAAAACAACGAATAAAAATAAATCCTGACCAAAGAATGAAGACAATAAGTAACTTGTCTATGTAATGAACTAACTCAACCCACAACCAATATGAAATGTTTCAAGACAGCATATAATGTTTGCTAAATCAGTCTAGGGGAAAGCGAAACATGCCAATAGGAAATGGGAGTATACTCTCCTGTGAATGTGAACCACCACCTTCTGGTTCTAATTGAAATTAAATACTCTCTTCCACCCATCCACACTGCCCAGCATCAAACCCTCCAAAACTGATCCTTGTCAATTTTAGGCTAACTTATCAAACCTTTTCTCCTGGATTAATAAAGGGAAAGGAAAATATGTATTAGGTGGATGGATGGATGGATGGATAGATAGATGGATAGATGATAGATAAGAATTAATTAATATAGATATATATTACTAGTAGATTAAACAGAAATCTACAACAATATTAGCATGGAGACTGTTCAATTCATTGTTTGAATGATGATAGGCAAAATTGTATTATTTCCTTCTAAGACCCAAAGAGAGATACCAAAAAGTACAACACACGTTCTTTAAAAGCATAAGTACATTTCATCCTTATGAGGTATCACTTTCAGTATTAATTACAGGTGATGGAACCAAATTCGGAGAATCTGAGTAACTTTCCCTTCAGGTAACAAAACTGTACAATGGTTGCGTCAAATTTAAGTCCTGGCTATGTGACTCCAAATCCCAATTCTTAACTAGTGGGCTAGAATATCTCCTACAGATATAAAGTCGTCTTCTTAAAATGAAGCCATCCTATCAACATGTCTCTTAGGCCAATAATAATGCTAATAAATGTCTTCTTCCAGCTATAGCTCCATTTTACAACAAAATTCCAAACAACTATCAATATAATTCACCGGGAAATCATCTGGGTCTGAAACTTCCTATAGCTGTCTGACCCACTCCAGCATCTACTCCAGTTTGTTCTTTAGGCCCACACCAGTGAAGTTTTTCCTGCAAAGTTAACCTGCTTCCTCTGTGTTGCCAAATCTAGAGGTCATTGCTTGGTTCTCATCTTAATTTAATGACAACATTTGACAGTAATCATGATTTACTTTTTAATTCTCACCTGAGAATATGTTTTTCTCACTGATTCCAGAGAGAGAGACATCAATCAGTGGCCTCATGCATGGCCCCAAGCAGGGCGGGAGATAAACCTACCTATCACCCAGGTACATGCCCTTGATGGGGAAATGAACCCAAACCCTTCGGTGCACAGGCCAACGCTCTAACCACTGACCCACACTGACCAGGGATAAAAACATTTTCTTCGTGTGGCTTCCAGATCCCTATCACTTGGCTCTCCTTTCCCAGTCTCCCTACGAAATTCTCCTCATTGACCAACTTCCAAATGTTTCAAGCACCCCTGGTTCCAATCTCAGCAAGTTTTTTTCCTTATGCTTCTTCCTCTTATGATTTTATCTCAAATCTTAAAGTACTATGTAGATGCCAGTGAATCATAAATTTATACCTCCAGCCTTTAATTTTCCCCTAAACTCCAGAATAATCTAACTGCTTGTTCAACATCACTATCTAGAGGTCATACTGATCTCAAAGGTTAACAGGTCCAAAAACAAGCATTTGATTTCTGCTCCAAACACACCTTCCAGAAGTATCCATCTCAACAAATACCAACTCTCATAGATACAGAGAACATTTTGTTGGTTGCCAGATGGAAGAGGGGTTGGGGGAATGGGTGAAAAAGGTGAAGGGATTAAGGAGTACAAATTGGTTGCTAGACTGACAAACCTCAAAGGGAAAGGGGTTGGGGGGGGGTGGGAAGAAATAAACCAAAGAACTTATATGTATACAAACATAACCAATGGACACAGACAACAGTGCAGGGAAAGGCAGGAGGGGGGCAGGAATGGGGAGCAGGGATCAATAGGGGAAAAATGAGGAACATCTGTAATACATTCAACAATACAGATAAGTTAAAAAACAAAAACAAAATAATACACACGTTAATAAGAAAAATATTAATGGAAGGATATAAGCAGTGGCTATCTCTGAGTTAAAAAAGTAGGTTTTTTATTTTATGCTTTTCAGTTTTTCCCACATTTTCTGCATTACTTTTATAATCAGAAAATAATAGAAAAATAAAAACAAAGAAATAAACCCTGGAGGAAAGTGTTACCTCACAATTCAAGAAGTGGAGGACAAGGCTTTAATTGGCCTACATAACTCCCCCTTCCCTGCCTCTTGTGTTTTATATTTTGAAACAATTTTAAATGTACACAAGTGTTGCAAAGATAGTACAGAGAATTTTCACATACCCTTCACCTACTTTCCCCTAATGTTAACACCTTACATAACCACAGTACATTTACCATAGCTACCAAATTAACACTAGTGTAATACTACTACCTAACCTATTGACTGTATTGTAATGTCACTAGTTTTCCCACTACTACCCTTTTTCTATTCCAGAATCCTATCTCCCATTTCACATTGCACTCTGACCTCATGATTCCTCATCTGTGTCTTCTCCAATCTATGACAAGTTCTTGGTATTTCCTTCTTGTCTTTCATGGACTTGACATTTTTAAATACTACTGGTCAGTTATTGTAGAATACCCCTCAGCTTGGGTCTGTCTGATGCTTTCCTATGATTAGGCTAACACTATAGATTTTAGGTAGTGCCCTCTTATCATATCATATCAGGGGGTCCATGACATCAACATGACTTATTACTGGTGATGTTAACCTTGATCTCTTGGTGGTCTGCCTGGTTTCTGTACTGTCAAGTGATTGTTTTTCTCTTTCATTATTCTGTTTCTTACAATGAGTCACTACATCCAGCCAACATTCAAGGGGATGGGAATTAAGCCCCACCTCTTACAGTAAGGAATATTAAAAACTTTTGGAGATATGCTAAAACTACCACAGTAATTAATATTTGGGGGAGATAGTCTGAGACCAAATAAATATCCTATTTTACCTTAAAGTGTTGCCACCAATTTTACCATTCATCAGTGGCTCTTGACTGAAATAATTATTACTGTGGTGTTCTAATTACTGTGGTGACTTTCTATTTTTCCCTAACCCTTCTACAATTATTAATTGAAATTCTTCTATAGAAAAGATGTGTCACCCTGGCCAGTGTGGCCCAGGCGGTTCTGTGGCGTCCCATGTACCAGAGGACTGCTAGTCTGATTCCCAGTCAGAGCACATGCCCAGGGTTCAGGCTCGATCCCCAGGGAGGGGTGTGCAGGAGGCATCCAATCGATGTTTCTCTCTCCCCTACTTTCCCTTCCTCTCTCTGGTGAATCAATTAAAAAAAAAAAAAAAAAAAAAGAGTTGTCCCTCCTCCCCCATATTTATTTATATCAGTACGGACTGTGGTTCAAAACTGTTCCAACCTTAGCCACTGGGAGCACTTTCCAGTTGGTCCCTATATCCTTCTGACATGCTCACATCCTGATGTTTTTTGAGCACTTCCTTACTGTCTGGCACTGCATTAGATGCTCTAGGCTTACCTTATGTTTTCCCTGTCCTAAACTTCCATCATTTCTCCAAAAGACTCTCGTCAGTTTAATTGGAGAGTGTAAAACCACAATCTGGGTGCTTGGTGTACTCATTACTAGGAGTGTCACAAAGCTCACTAGGCTTGACTGCCTTCCCAAAGTAAGAGTTAGGAGTTCACACAAATGAACAACTCCTTCCCTGTTTTATTCCCCCGCAACTGTTTTGGAGATCCATCACACATCATACCACTTTGAAAAGGGCACTGTTCTTTTGACAGGATCAGGACATCCTCCACAGTGACTTTTCATCTCAAAAGAGAAAGCTGCTCCCCAAGTCCCCCAGATCTGCCTCACGTTCTAACACAGGCATTTTTAGCAGCTATCCTGGAAAGACTAGGCTGAAGGCACTGTACTAGCCGACAGAAGAATACTCAACCAACTTCACTCGCTTTTTAATAAAAACAGCCCAAACATTTATCTAAAACTATTAACATCAGCATAAAAATAGGAGCAATGAAGATGATAAAAATCAAACTTTAAAATTATAAAATACCAACTCAAATAATTTCTCTTACTGATAAAATACTAGTAGATACTTTCCTTCCAGTAAATCTTGCCTCTCGTATATACATATCATGAGAAATGTGGTTAGCTATCACTAACCACAAAAATAATACAATAATCTAAAAATTATCACTGTACTATGAGTTTCTTGAAGGCAGGGAGATACTTCTCTCAATTATAGTGCTGGGCAAGCAAAATGTAGGACCTCAGTAAATCCCTATTAAAATGAAAATAGAAAAAAAAAATTGCCTTTTGAATGTCTTGCCCAACCCTAAACACTAGTTGCAAAAGCTTTGCATCTGGCTTCTCTCTACAACTTATTTCTTTACTTGTCTTGCCTCCTCCCTCCTCCTCTACCATTTCCTATTGCCCTATGGAACAAAACACAGTTCTATGTTCTAGCCTTGAGAACATTTACAAATTAAGTCTTGTAAAACAAATGCTATCTATTGAAAAAATCACCCTTAAAAATGGGAACTTTGCTTTATGGTTTCCAACTCTCAAAAACAGATATTTAACAAAAGGCATTCATGACAGCTGATGCACTAGGCCAGTTGGTTTTCTTACTCTAACATCTACCTTTGAAACAACACAAGCCCATTTAGCTTATGTCAGTGCATAGTAAGACTGATATCCCAGTTCATTTTCTATGATAATAACTACATTATAAGGAATGACTGACAAATTGGATTCTTTTGTTTTGTGGATGCTGAGGCCCTTCAGTCAGTGATGCTAAAGGACACATTACCGACCAGCTCCTTTTTTCTCCAGCTCAGTTAAAACATATTAAAACCACAGGCCAAGAAAGCCATAAAACATGTTGTACGCATATTTAAAGAACAGCAACAAAATAAATATGGTCCTAACAAATGAGATACCAAAAAGATTAAAAGGAAATCTAGTGACAAAAGGCCATACTTAAAACTGATAAACTGGGGCACTCTAAATGGCGTGCTCTCCCTGTGAAACCATGTCAACCCCTTGTTTAAAGCATTTGAACAATTAGTGACAGTTGACATACTACCCAGTATGACAAAAAGGAGGGCTTAGGTAAAGATTTTCTGAGCATGACATAAGGTTTATAAAGAATGAGAACTGTTGTCTTATCTAAAATGTGAATGCTGATATCTGGATAAGATTCTGAGCCAGAAAAAAAAAAAAAAAAAAAAAAGGCAAAAAGTGTAAGGAATTGGGATGTCTCCATTTTGAAAGTGAGCTCAGTGCTGAAAAGTATGAAGTGCCACGTGAGAGCATGAACAGGCCACACTGTCACCACGCTGCCCTGAGACCTGCACCTGAAAAACAGGCACACAACTGGATTTCACTGGCTCTGGGCCCATGTGAAGAAAGCTGCCTCCAATCAAGTGTTATGTTGGAGAGAGGAGATGCTGAGAATATTTAGGGCATGTGAAAAAAAATGGTGCATGTGGTTTTCTGTAGCTCTACCTGAAATGAAAAGCTGAAGAACCAACGATCTCAACACTAATTTGGAAAAATGTAAATATCCAGAAGAAAACTGAGGTAAAGGATAAGACGAATTTACATGGAATCTTTCCTACAAAATGGGGATGAAAGCTATTTACTACTGTTGCTCATATCTAAAGTGTCTCTTAAAGACCTAGCTACATACAGGCTTAAGTAAAAGGGAGATACACAAATCATTTTTTCATTGGTATTTCACCAGATTAACACATACTAAAATGCTTCTTTAAAGATGAGAAAACAGCCCCAGCCAGGTGGCTCAGTTGGCTGGAGCACTGTTCCATACACCAAAAGGTTTCGGGTTCGATTCCCAACTGAGGGGGCATGTATGGCAGTCAGTCAATTGATATCTGTCTCTGTCTCTCTCTCTTCCCCTTTCCTCTCTCTCTAAAATCAATGAACATATCCTTGGGTGAGTATTTAAAAAAAATTTTTTTTTATAAAAAATGAGTAAACAGAATTACCCATCTACCAAAGATAACAAAACGAAAACAACAAAGACCACTCAATGTTACAGAGTTCTCAAGTGTTCACTCAGAGAACTGTATCAAGTGAAGAATTACATAATTTTCAAATTAGTAGCTTGCTGATCATAATGGCAGTCTTCATTTTTGTGTTTCAAGCATTTTAATGACATGAAAGTTTTTATTTGGATACAGATGATATTTTGTCATCAAGGTCACACATTACAAATGCGAAGAAGTGTAGTCTGTAACATTTTTGAGGGGAAAAAAATCAGTGCCCAAGAGTAAACTCAGCACGGGCCCAAAATGTCATCTGCCTTTTTCCTTGTTATCAGCAAGGGTAAGAAGATGCTTTTTCTAAATTCTCTCCCACATCTCAACTATCCTAGGCTCATGCACTGTCCTTTTTAGACAAACGCAGACTCCACACTTAGAGGAGTACGGTGTGCTAGTGGAGTCAGACTCCTACGTTCAAACCCTGGCTCTGTCACTAACCACTAACTAGCAGCATGACGGAAGTAAATCACTTACCTTGTGTTCTTCAATTCTAAAGTGGACGTAGCAACAGTACATATGCAAAAGGTTTGTCATGAGGAAACAAGTTAACATATATAAAGCATTTGGAGTACAGTAAATCCTTACTCAACTGTTAGTTGGTAATAAATGTTATCTTATTTTTGGCCCAACATTCTCTTATGCCAAGATTGTTTTCTCTCCTAGTTCAGTCAATGAATTAGATATCCCTGTTTCTTGCCAGCCATAAGTTCAATAATGTCATGTGACGTCACTACCTTCCAAGCTGAACAGAGCAAACCTACAACGTAACCTCAGTCCACTCACTAATAACACTCCTTTGCAAAGGAGGACACACATGCAATTAGATAAAGCCTCCCAATGCTATTGGAAGGAAAGGTGGTGGAAATATTTACACAGACATTTTCATTTTTCAGAAGGGGAAATGGAGCCTCAGAGGCTGAATGAGACCTGCACAGGATAGCAGCACTTTGGTCCTTCAATTTTACAACTTATAAGCAAGAGTAAACTTGCCCCATAAGTTCTAGAGGGAATTCAATAAACACACAAATATATTCTATGTCCTGAGGATCAATAGTATTACAATTAAATTAATGAGTTAATATTATTTACCCAGAGATCATGTTCATGCTCAGTAGCATATAATACCAGCTTCCATTGGGATTACTACTTTGTAGGTGGGAAAAATTCACATAATTGAGCAGATTTGAATCTACAGCATCAATACAGTGAGGACATTCTTAAGAAAAGTTCCAAGACTACATCATACTATGAAAATTACCCAACATATATTAGCTTTTTTCCACATCCTGCCTGCCTTATACACCCACCCCTAAGGTTCAGAAAAGGTGTCCTAAAATGAGGTTTTGACAAGGAATTCCTGTTAAAAAATAAAAACAAAAGCATCATTCTACATTTTTACATATTTGCCATTAAACTCTCCACAAACAATGCTGTGAAGAATCAACTTCAGCATCACTGCCTATACCTATAAATAAACACACAGTTTTCCTGCTTAACTTACCAGAATCAGTATTTACCAAGACACTCAGAGGGTCTGCATTAGCCTTGGGTGGACCTTCATGTTTCAAATCACACAAACGATTGTCTGATCCAGTAGCTGCTCTCTGCCCAGCACGGTCATTTTTCCATTTGCAATGTCTGCCAGGACTTCTGATCTTTGCCATCTGTGAATGTCTGGACATTCCCTTCATCTTACTGGAGTTTAAAAAAAAAAAAAAAATCAATTCTTTATATAAAAGACACTGACCATTCAAAAAAATATTTGGAAAGGTCTAGTGAATTCAAAAGAAATCTAAACTGTCAATCAATCACATGTAGCCTAGTTCATTAAAGAGACCATAATAAAATAAATTCAATGGTTTTCAAAGACAGAACTCTATAGAACTTTATAAGAATAGCACACAATATACTGTATTTTATCAATTCCAAGACGCACATTTCCTTCCATATTCTAACTCCTCTGAGATTGACCTACGTTATACAATCAACAGCAGGTGAATTTAACCAGCAGCTTTCTTCCACTCCTATTGTACATAAAATAAAAGTGTTTCTAGACTTTATAAAGTGCGTTAACTTTTGTCTATTCACTTCCAAGAAGCCTTAAAGTTTCAGAAGTATTTACAAATACACTGCGTTGATTTTCATGACAACTCTTTGAAACCAATTAGACAGGTACTATTTCCTTTACAGGAGGGATAAACCTATAGACTGAACACAATTTCACAGCTACCTCAAATCAAGCAGCCTCTCAACCAGTACAATTCCTCTCAGAAAGAAAACAAATACTTATGTGAACATATTCTAATATAAACTATGTGTAGGAAAAAAAGGTCATTTTATTTTCTTATTCTTAAAGTAGTATTTATTGATTTTTTTTTTTTTAGAGAGAGAGGAAGAGGGAGAGAAACACTGATGTGAGAGCAAAGCATCAATAAGGCTGCCTCCTGCATGCCCCCTACTGGGAATCAAACTGGCAACCTTTCAGTGCACAGGATGAAGCCCAACCGAGTCAAACTGGCCAGGGCAAAAAAAGGCCATTAAGAAAAAGATTTATTTCCTACATTCCCAGTAGACTATAATTCAAGGTATCCCTTGGTGCGGCTGAGTTTTCACAAAGATACATATGTTTATCCTAATTTGTCATTTATCAGGAAAAAAAATTTTTTTTTAATTAATAATAGAGGCTGCAGTTAGGAGTATAGAAATTAGAACTCTGGGTTCAAATTCTAATTTTGCCATTTTCTGGTTGTGTCTCTTGGACAATATCAATACCTCAAAATCTGTTTACTCTCTCATCTGTAGAATGGGAATCATAAAGACGCAGAGAAAATTACCTTAGAGTGCTTTGCATCTACAACAAGGTAACACACTAGCTCCTTAATAAATGATAGTTACCAAAATAGTTTCTAAATAATTTGCTAAACCAACATATTGAGTTAATATCTGTGCAATACAGAAGTTCTTTTTTAGATTCACCATAATCTTTATAGTCTCATTCCAAAAAATCATATATATGCTCCAAATTTTACAGAAAACCACAGAACAATTTCCAATTTCCATCCAGAAATGTTGGGCTGATACCACCACAAAGTCATCACAGCTAAAACAAATACAGTTGCTGCCTCTGGTCCGCCATCACCATGATGATAACAGAGATGCCATTTCGCTCAGGTTCCCACTCACAGATGCCTTCCTTGTATCCACTCAGAGATGCTGCCTGTACTTGACTCCAGCTCATTTTTGATTGATCATCTTTAAGGTAATCACTAATTAGTAATGAGTTAGGATGATCTTTTTTTTTTTTAATCATTACCTGAGGACATTTTCCATTTTTTGTTCAGATAGAGTGGGAGGGAAAGAGAGAGAGAGAAACATCGACATGAAAGGGACACATCGAGTGATTGCCACCCACATGACACAACCAGGGCCGGGGACAAACTGTAACCAAGGTACGTGCCCTTAGCGGGAACCAAACCCAGGCTGACACTCTAACCACTGAGCCAAATGGCCCAGGCAAGTGATACCTCGGTTCTCGAACGCCTCGGTTTTCGACCAAATCGGTATTCGACCAGGAGATTCGAGAAATTTTGTCTCGGAATCCGAACAAATATTTGGAACTCGAACTTCCGAGATGAGCCGAGTTGAGCCGAATGGCGTTCATTCGGCCCAGCACGCCTTGCTTGCGTCATCAGTGTGAGTGCAGAGAGAGAGTCACGCTTTGTGGAGTCACGCTTTCCTATTGGGTTTCATTGCTTCGGTTCTCGAACAATTCGGTTCTCGACCGTCCTCCTGGAACGAATTATGTTCGAGAACCGAGGTATCACTGTATTCAGTATTTGCATCCCACTCCACTTTCGAGGGATTAGTTCTGTTACACCAGTGTTTGACAATCATTTAAAGTTTATTTAATCAACACTTAATGTAAGTAAAAATGTAGATGCATTTGAAGTGGAGAGATTAGGAATTATTATAACTAAAAAGCTAATAGAGAGGAAAATATAATATTAAAAATTATTCAATTAATCCAAAAGAAGGCAAGAAGGGAAACAAAAAATTGGAAAAAAATTTAAAAACAAATAGGACAATGGTACACTGAAACCCAACTCTATAAGTAATTACATTAAATGTAAATACACTAAACCCTTGCTAAAAGATAAAAACTTTCAGCCTGGATTAAGACCAAATTATATAGCCTATACAGAAATACACTTTAAAATACACAAACACAAAAGTTTAAAGGCAAACATTGAAACACACTATCCTTTTCCCATGACATCACAACGCACCTTTGTCATAGTCAGGAGATTGTTTATCAGTAGATTTGATATCATGGTATTAGCCAACACTATACTATCTCCATCACTAATTTTCTTAGCTATTCTAGAACCTTTGCATTTTCGTGTAAATTTTAAAGTTTATCAGTACTACCCTCCTGCACCATCCTACCAACCCCTCCTGGAAAAAAAAAAACCAACTTGCTAGGATTTTGATTAGGAGCAATTTGAAAAGACTGATATAATTATATTGAGTCTTCCAATCCATGAACATTATATATCCTTCCATTTATGTCTTTAATTTTTCTGAACAATGTGTTATAGTTTTCAGTATAGAGGTCTTACAAATCTCTTGTTAGATGTAGTCCTAAGTAGATATTTTGATGCTACTGTAAATAGTATCTTTTTTTCTTTTTATTAATCCTCACCCGAGGATATTTTTCCATTGACTTTAAGATAGAGTGAAAGGGAGAGAGGGGGAGAGACACCGATATGAGAGAGACATATCAAATGCTTGTCTCCCGTACCTGACCCGGTCCGGGGATCGAATCTGCAACCTAGGTACATGCCCTAGACCAGAATCGAACAAAGACCCTTTAGTCCACAGGCCAAAACTCTAAGTGCTGAGCCAAATTGGCCAGGACATAAATAGTATCTTCTAAAATTTCATTTTCTAATTTTTGTTGCCAATATATAGAAATACTACTGATTTTTAAAATACTGGGTTTTTTGTTTTATCCTCACCCGAAGACATTCCTTCATTTTTTTTGTTCAGATAAGAGTGGGAGGGAGAGAGAGGAAGCGAGAGAGAGAAACATCGATGTGAAAGGGACACATCGAGTGGTCGCCACCCGCAGGACCCAACCAGGGCCGGGGAAAAACTGCAACCAAGGTACATGCCCTTAGCAGGAACCGAACCCGGGTCTCTCTAGACCTCAGGCCGATGCTCTACCTGCTGAGCCAAACCAGCCAGGGATGATTTTTAAAATATTGATCTTATATGTATTTGGCACGCTTGCTAAAGTCACTTATTAACTCTAACTGCAGATTTGTTTGGGTTTTTTACACATACAATTATGTCAACCCTAAAAATGGCCAGTTTTAATTCTTTCTTTTCAAACTTTATATGTTCTAATTTTTTTTCTTGCTTTATTACACTGCCTAGGATGTCCAATATAATGCTGAATAAAAGTGGTAATAGGCTTGGCCAGTATGGCTCAGTGGTTGAACGTTGACTCATATACCAAGAGGTTGCTGGTTCAATTCTCAGTCCGGGCATATGCCCGGGTTGCAGGCTCGATCTCCAGTAGGGGGTGTGCAGGAGGCAGTCAATAAATGTTTCTCTCTCATTGATGTTTTTATCTATCTCTCCCCTCTCCCTAAAAAGCAATTTAAAACATTTTTTAAATTGATCAGTATTTCACTATTAAGTATGATTTGGCTGTAGGTTGTTTGTAGACGATCTTTATTAGACTTAGGAAATTATCTTTTATTCCTAGTTTGTTGAGAGTTTCTTTTTCATAAATGGAGGTTAAATTACATCAACACTTTTCTCATTTATTAAGATAATCCTATTACATTATTCCCTCATTCTATGTATGTGGTGAATAACGTTTTATTTTCAAACACCAAGCCTAGTCTTGCTCCTGATATAAATCCCACTTGGCTAACTACTGCAAATCAAGAAAAGCAACCCAATTAAAAAACTGGCCAATGACTAGAAATAGTGAATCACAAGAGAATATCAAAATGGCCAATGAGCATAAAAGAAGGTGTTCGATATCATTAGTCATGAAGAAATGGTAACACACAAGGAAAAGGTATAACAATACCAAGCACTGGCCAGGGTACACAGCAATTAGATGCAGAGTCAGTGGGAATGTAAATTGGTACAACCATTTTGGAAAACTGTCTGGCTATATCTATTAAAGTTAAACACATGGATGCCTTATGATCTGGTATATATAATATATATATATATATATATATATATATATATATATATATTCTCTCCTTTGTCACCTGAGAGGCACAGGTATCAGCATGACAGCGCTGCCTGGTCAAAGAACCAAAGTTTCGTTTGACAACCGAGACATTTTTTTCTGTGAACAACTTGGTGGAGAACCAAACTGTTCGAGACGGTAGATGTTCAAGAATCAAGTTTGACTGTGTATGTGTGTTTGGAATATATACCGGGGTGGGCAAAAATAGGTTTACAGTTGTGAGTATGCAAAACACAGAGTTTAACTTTGTAATATTATTTATTAATTATTGTATTATTTTCCATAAGAACTATAAACCTACTTTTGCCCACCCCTGTAAAAATGAGTACTTACATCAATAAAAAACGTGTAAATGAATGTCCACAGCAGCTTTATTCATAACAGCCCAAACTGGAAACAACCCGAATGTCCAACAGTGAGAAGATATATTTTCTCACAATTGAGTTTTACACAGCTATAAGAATGACTGATTTATAGCTGCTACATGCAATCTAAATGAATCTCACAAAATAATTTTGAGCCCAGAAATTACACACCAAAGAATACATAATGTATGATTCCACTTATGTAATGTTCCAAGAATAGGTAAAATAAATCTATGATGACAGAAATCAGATAAGAGATTAACTTAGTGGGGAGGCACTTAACTGGGGAGGGCATAGGAGAACTTTGTGAGGTGGAGACTTTCTGTTCACAGTCATGAGCTGCATAATGCCATTTCGGTCAATGACAGACTGCATATACAACAAGGGTCCCATGAGATTATAATAGAGCTGAAAAATTCCTATGATCGGAGTCATCTAATATCATAACACAACACATTAGTCTCATGTTGTGGTGATGCTGGTATAAACAAACCTATGTGCTGCCAGTCATATGGAATTATATACAACTATATACAGTACCTGCTTGATAATGGTAAAAAATAACGATACTGGCTTTTAAAACTATACTATATATATTTACTATACTATACTTTTTAGAACATACTTCCTATAAAAAGTTTTCTGTAAAACAATATGCTGTGTTATGTTAGTGGAGCCTCATACATCTGTGTTTACCACATCTCTTGATTGTATCATTTTCTCTTGCACTTGATCTAATCTTTATAAAAATAAATTTAATTTTATAAATGTATAAAAGTATACCGTGGTGTAATGTGCTAGGCTTTCATTCACTCATCACTCACTCACTGATTCACACAGAGCAAGTTCCAGTCCAGCAAGCTCCATTCATAGCAAATGTCCAATACAGATGTACCATTTTTTATCTTTTACACTGTTTTCACTCTACCTTTTCTATGTTTAGACATAAAATACCTTTGTGTTACAGTTGCCTACAACATTCAGTACAGTGACATGCTGTACAGGCTTGCAGCCTGTAAGCAGTAGGCTATACTATACAGCCTGAGTATGTAGCAGGCTATTCTACCTAGGTTTGTAAGGGCACTCTACGATGTTGACATGGTGACAAAATTGCCTAACCACACATTTCTCAGAACATATCCCATAGTCAGGCAGCACATGACTGTATTATTAATCTGTATGGAGGTTACATGGGTGTGTAGGTGTACAGTTATGTGTGGATATGTGTGCATAAATCTATCAAGTTATACATTTAAGATCTGTATACTTTACTTATATTAAAAATATATTTCAGCCCAGCTGGTGTGGCTTAGTCATCCCATGAACTGAGAGGTACCTGGTTCAATTCCCAGTCAGGTCACATGCCCAGGTTGCATGTTTGATCCCCAGTAGGGGGCGCACAGGAGGCAGCCAATTGATGTATCTCTCTCACACTGATATTTTTATCTCTCTTCCTCTCTCTCTAGAAACTCAATAAAGACATTTAAAAAGTTAAAAAATAAAAATATATTTAAATAAAAAATAAAATGGAAAAAAATCTGAAAAAAGTGCTATGAAGGTGAGGAATAGTGAAAATAGGGTGTCTCATACATTGCTGGTGGAAGAGTAAACTAGAACAGCTTCTATGATAGATATTTGGCAGTTAGTTATCAACATTACAAATATACATATATCTTTTGACTCAGCAAATCCACTTCTAGGAATCCATCCTCAGAAATAACTGCACATGTGTAAAATGTATGTATAGGGCAATAATGGCAACTTTTTATTAGTAAAAGATTGGTAAGAATTTAAATGTCTGTCAATAGTTAAAAAAAAAAAAAAAAGACCCCGTGGAATATCCTTAAGCTTCCAACACATCCTTAAAAAATGAGGAGACCTGTTATGTATTAATATGGGACAATCTCCAAGTATATTATATGGCTAAAAAACCAAGGTATAGAACAGAGTCAAAAAAAGAAAGAAAAAGATTATTATCTATGTGCTGTACACATATGGAATATCTCTGGAAGGATAAAATAGATTGTCTTTGGAAAAGAGAACTGTTTAGCTGGGAGACAAAGAGAAAAGACTTGGTAATTATAAATCTTTTTGAAAACCATACAAATATAGGCCATTAATCATTTTTTAAAATTTTTAAGTAAAAGAACTACAAAAGCAAAGATTTTTGAATTGGGAGTAGAGATTTTAAGATTTTGGTGTGAGTGGAATACTATGCAGTTGTTAGAAAGAAAGATCTCTTACCCTTTGAGACGACTTGGAAAGTATTATGCTAAGCAAAATAAGCCATTCAGAGAAAGACAAGTATCACATGATCTCACTTATTTGTGGAATATAATGAGCAAAAATAAGCTGACGAATAAACAGATCCACAAACATGGAAGTAGAAACCAGAATGACAAACCTCAGAGGGAAGGGGGCAGGAGAGACAGGAAGAGATAGAACAAAGAACTGATATGCATATACCCATAACCAATAGACACAGACAACAGTGTGGTGAAGGTAGGGGGGATAGGAGCGGAGGGCGGGGTGGTGGAGGGTGTCAATGGAGAGAAAAAGGAGGGACATCTATAATACTCTCAACAATAAAGATAATTTTAAAAGGGGGGAGAGGATGTAGAGCATAGGGCTCTATTCCAAATGTCTTAAAGGCATAATCCCATCTTAATCATGCCCATGCCTACTACTGCACACGAAACAAATTGTCCCTCAATCATTGTGTGCTAAATAAAAAACAGATGCTACAATAGCAACAACAAAAAATATTTTGGTTTATGCTCTTTTTTTAATTTATAAGTATACTTGTTTAAAATAAGCAGTGAGAATGCAAGCAATTTTAAAGAACTTACCCATACTGCGTCGTTGTCAATACTGCACCTCTCTTTTCCTTTTCAAGTTTTAACTTTTTCTTCCTTTCAATATTGGCCAGAGTTGGGTAGTTTCTACAAAACAAAGTTTAAAAAATTATAAAAGAACTTTTAGAATACAACTTTAATTACACAAACAAGCAATTACTGCATTTTGCAATTTTTGTTTAATGACTAGTACCATAAATCATAATTATATAAACCTTCATATAAAATTTATATAAACTTTAATTCCTTCTAGAATCTTTTTAAGGGGAAAAAGAAGACTATAACAATGCTATTCAAAGTGTAGATGAGCTGAGTTCACAAACTTTGCTACCAGTCTGTGAGTAAGTAAGGAGCTTTACACTAGAATTTAAATCAACTATATCATACAGTGTGCTCACAAAGGTCTAATGCATCTATTTTGGTGTGTACATACCTGTAAACACTATAAAAAAAATGTAAGTCTATGCAATTACTTGCGCAAATACATAATATGTACATCCAAAGTTACCATGATGAGGAAGATACTGTTCTCAAACAAAGACAGTCTACCAGGAAGGATAGGAAAAGCACATAAACAGCTTTAAGAAAGAGTAAAATATAGTAATCACCCCAAAGAATATAAAGATTGGAGGGTGAGAGGAAAGATCACATCAAGCTGGAGAAATTAAGAGAGAAAAGAACATGAAAGAAATTGGTCTTGAATGGTGTTAATAGACAGAAATCTGAAAGCAGAACAAACAATGCAGACAAACCAAGGCCTCTGAAAGTGTGAGAGAGGCCAGGGAATGACAAGTGGTTCATTTTGTATGAAACATAGTTACAGGCAATTGGACCAGGAAGGGAAGCTGAGGCCAAAATGTGCCCTGAATGAAAGACTGGAAAGTTTATATTTAACTCAGTGGAGATGGGGAGCCACTGCAAGTTATGAACAGGGAGAGAGGTGTACAAGGCAGTGATTAAGATTAAGCTGGACAGCAGTGTCCAAGATAAAATGCTCTGACAAAGCTTTCTTTGTTCCTTGCCACACTTGTGTAGAGATGCAGGCACCAAGCTCTGGTGGTGAGGGGAATAGATCTTAAAAGTATCAAAAGCACAGAAGGAGGGGAACACAGACAGATCTCTACCACTCAGCTGGGCTGCTCATTAGAGTAAATTTGAAGAAACATCAACAAATCTTGTTCTGCCATTGTTTCTACCTCCTTTGTTTTTTTTCCTTTTTAACACCTAACTTGTATAGCACAGAGAATATGAAGCCTATTGGTTGACCATGTTGGAAGAATTGAAATGACATTAAGTGAAGTAATCAGAAAAAAAGGCAATGAATTTCAATGAGACAGTGCAAAGCAATCTATTCAGCCAAGAAAAATAAACTCCATAAATAAAAGATGATGAATACACAAGCTATAAATAAATGTAAGAGGAAAAGATCAAGGTCATAAGGAGATAGAAATCTGACAGCCAGTCAGTACCATAAGACTACATTTTTAGAAAGCAAACATAATCTACAGTTATGTGAGATGAACCCTGGCACATGTTCAAGTGTGAAATCTTCCTCTCACGATACTCAAAAGTGGTCAAAACTCTCAGAGCAGTGTCCAGTTTTGTATTTCTAAATTGAAAAGGAGAGTTGAGGAAAAGTAAAACTTGGAACAGATTCAGGAGAGACTCAAAGATGATCAACAGGATGAAAAATAAAACCTCTGAAGAAAGATGAAAAGAACTGGAATTATTTGCAGCCTTTAAAAGAGGAAGAGACGCGACAATAAACGATCTCACTGTGAGGATGGAAGCCAGCTGTTCTCAATCTGAAGACAGTATATACAAAAGCAGAAATGATGAGAGAACACTTGATGACTTTCACAGGCCCCAATGTCTAGGCATGTAACTCACAGCTACTCAACACCTCTTCACATCTCTGAAATTCACTTATTCATACTGCTTATGGGTCTTCAACATTTTTCTTCTGAGTGCTGCAGACTGTTAACATGTTAGGCCATATGCTAAACAATAAGATTTGGTGCTCTAGTATACATACCATGTACACGCAAGTAGATGCTACTTCAGTGCTTCTCAACAATAAAGAATGTAAACGTTTGTTACAGCAAGTGATTTAGGTGAGATGTGAAAAGAATTCCTTATACAAGATATCAAGAAAGTTATGGTAACTCCTTTGGTAGAAGTCCTAAAACAGCTCCCTTTCTCTTTCTGGGAGACTCAAGTATCACTTTCCTAAAGTTAAGGGATCTTTCAATATCCCTTGCAAAGCTATAAGATTCTATTTTTTCAGTGCTTAAATTAATAAAACCTTGGTCCAAAATGTGTACCATTCTTATTTACACAGAACCTAGAGACTAAAAACTAAGGATAACAAGGATATTAGAAAGGAAATTATCCCAAAACAGGGACAACAGAAATATGAGACAGAGTTAAACACAACAATCAGGAAGCCCCTCTCAAAATGTAATACTGAAATAAAATATAAGAATAAGGAAAAGCCAGAAGCTTTGGTAAATGTCACAGGTCAGGTTCCTAAGTACAAATGAAATAACCAATTTAAAGTCTGTTCGAAAAAAAAAAAATCCCAAATTATCTTACGTTACACAATTACATACAGATAAAACTTAGCCCGGTATCTCCTGTTAGAGACTGGATGCTATGAAGTTATAGACTGGGATAAGTGATATTTCCACAGTTGGTTTCTTTATTATTATCTGCTAAAACCACTTTTCTTCCTGTACGTCCATCTTTCCCCAATACCCCAAGAGGAACTGGCCCTGAAGCCATAAGCCCTTTTTCTCTCTTCTTCCTGGTTCACATCCCACCTCCTTACCTTCCCCTACCCTATACTTTGAGCCTCCAGTGGCAATCCTTAAGCACTAGGGTCAATAAATGAGCAAAACTGTGTCAACCATAATCTCAGCACATATCATTCTGGTTACATTCTTATACTCTCTAACTCCTTCCTTATCCCTAAATCACCACCCACTTCGTGTCTTCTCCCCTAAGCTTGTTCTCTAAAAATCATAATCCCTCTTTACACTCACTGACCCACAACTGCTTCAACACAAGTCCTACCACTGTATTTTTATTTCACAGTCTTTCTGAACTTCAAAAAGATGTAGCATTCTTTAGGAGCTGACCCCCTCTGATGGAATTCTGAAATAACTGGGGACACAATTTCAAAGAATTTCCTCAGAACTACAGCAACTGTTGAAATAAATGTTACAAAACGACTCCACCTAGTGGACTCCCATTTGCTGTGAAACACGTCTCCAGTTTCCAAAATCCAGGTTTGGGAGACAAACCTGGACCACTCATTTTCCCTACTGCCAAATCACACAGCAGTTCTACCTCAGAGCTCAGGAATAAAGAATCGCTTTTTATTTTTATTTTGGTGGAACTTTTTTTGCAGGTTATTGGTGGAAAGCCTTAACATTTTTAATTAAATACAGTGGGCACCTGAGTTTGGCTAATCTGAAAAAAATAAATCCGAAGGAACAAAGGCAAAGATGTACTTTCTTTAAAAGAGCAAAACACCAAGCAAATCTTTAGCATTTTCAACTCTAAAATTCTTACTCGATGAAAAATGTTTGTAAGATTTTCTAACGTAGCAATTACAAATTCTTTCCTCCATGTCAAAAAATACAGTGGCTTCCTCAGAAAGAATATAGTTCTCACCAGAAAGATAAAATTCAGGACATAAGGACTCTGTCATATCAATGGGCAATTTACTCTTTTCAGGAGTTCAAATAACTTTCTTTTTTAAATTGAGGGTAACAGAAATTTAGAAAATAAATGTATTTTCATAATAGGTTTTTTAAAACAGCTAGTGGAATGTTAGTGTATTTTTGAGAAATCTATCAAATGTGCCAAAATAAATGTTTCTCATACTTTTTATTAATAAAGTTCACTTATGTAAATAATGTCTGAATATGTTAAAGAACAAGATGTAGGAAAGCAAGATATGGAAGAAATTCAGATGTATTTAGCAAGCACCAAAAGGTAATTTCAGAATATTCTGTTTACAAGGCAATAGTATAGGTATAAATAAACATCCAAAAATGTCATCCTCACCCAGTTTCTTCATTCTCTTTAAACATTTCATAATTTCACAAATCTGCAACCTCTCTTATTCACTCCACAGATTTTTCCCCAGTCTTCTTCCAAGTTACTCTGTCCACTGTCATAGTCACTCCTTCAGCCAACATTTTAGAAACCACAACTAGATTCTCTCCCTTCTGCCCCCACCTAGCCTACACGAAAAGAATCACCAGTAAGCATTTAAACCTTTAAAAAAAATTTTTTTCTTTTATTCATTTTAGAGAAAGAAGAAGGGAGAGGGAGAGAGACAGAGCCATCGATGAGCAAGAACATCAACTGGCCGTCTCCTGCATGCTCCCCACTGGGGATCTGGCCCACAACCCAGGCAGGTGTCATGATGGGGAACTGAACCGGCGACCTCTTGGTGCATGGGTCGATGCTCAACCACTGAGCCACACCGGCCGGACACCAGTAAGCTTATTAAACACTTGCTCATCTACCCTTTAGTCAGGATACAGCAGCTTACAAGTATCACTTAGAGTTTTACACATCAACAATCTTTAAATGTTCCCATCAAGCACTGAGACAAATGCTACTCCTTGTTCTCCCCTTTCCTTAACAATTTTGTTTGGGGCTATTCCATCAAATCTACTGTCACTAAAGGTAGCTAAGCAACCTACTTCAGTGAGAACTACATAGAAGTCTCCTAGGTTGGAGCTCAAAACAAAGCTATAGTTTTCCTAAAGAAAAGGGGCAAACTTGGCTGTGTGCATTTTGCCTTTTACTCTTCTTCCTGTCTAGAATGTGGGCTTAATATTTGGATATGCGGGAACCTTCTGCTGGACATGAAAATGAAACCACCGCCCTGGCCGGTTTGGCTCAGCGGTTAGAGCGTCGGCCTGCGGTCCGGAGAGACTTGGGTTCGGTTCCTGCTAAGGGCACGTACCTCAGTTGCAGTTTGTCCCTGACCCTGGTTGGGTCATGTGGGTGGCAACCACTCAATGTGTCCCTTTCACATCAATGTTTCTCTCTCTCTCTCTCTCTGCCTCCCCCCACCCCCCATTCTATCTGAACAAAATATCGAAAAATGTCCTCAGGTGAGGATAAAAAAAAAAAAAAGAAAATGAAATTACCTACTATGGAGTAACAGGAGGGAGCCTGTGCCTAATGGTGCTGTTGAGCAGAAACAGTAGCTCTGGATTTTTTCTACTTGGGAAAAATAAACCTCTTTGTGCTAAGCCACAGTAGTAAGGTTGCTGTTCACTTAACTGGAGCACAATCTTACCTGATGCAAGCACCAATGCATCCTAGCTGTCCTCTTTAATCTGGCTGCTTTCTGCGTCCAACTAAGCATATCTTTTTTCTCTTCTTGTTAAGACTTTTTTCTTTTTTTTAAATCCTCACCCAAGGATTTTATTTTGTTGCTTTAATTTTTTTTCTTTATTAATTTTAGAGAAACAGGAAGGGAAGGGGAGAGAGAGAGATAGAAACATCGAGGAGCCCTGACCGATTTGGCTCAGCGGTTAGAGCGTCCGCCTGCAGACCAGAGTCCTGGGTTCGGTTCCCGCTAGGAGCACGTACCTTGGTTGCAGTTTGTCCGCGGCCCCAGTTGGGACTGTGTGGGTGGCAACCACTCAATGTGTCTCTCTGGCTCTCTCTCCCTCTCTTCCTCCCCCTCTATCTCAAGATAAATGCAAAAATGTCCTCAGGTGAGGATAAAAAAAAAAGAAACATCGATGAGAGAGAACACTGATTGGCCGCCTCCTGTATGCCCCCTACTGGGGATTTGGCCCACGACCTGGGCATGTGCCCTGACCAGGAATCGAACTGGCGACCTCTTGGTGCATGGGTCGACACTCAACCACTGATCCACACCAGCTGGGCCGAGGATATATTTTTATTTATTTTTAGAGAAAGAGAAAGGGGGAGGGGGAGGGGGAGGGGGAGGGAGAGGGAGAGGGAGAGGGAGAAACAGAGACAGAGACAGAGACATCAATGTGAGAGAGAACATCAACTGGTTGCCTTCCATACATGCCCTGACCAGGAATCGAACCTGCAACACAGGTATGGGCCCTGACTGGGAATTGAACCCGTGACCTTTCAGTGTATGGGATGATGTTCCAACCAACTGAGCCACCAGCCAGGGCCCAGTTAGGTATATCCTGATTTTAAAACTCACCTCCTAAAAGCTTTGGCAGTTTCTTATAAAGTTAAACATATGCTTATCATTTGACCAACCAACACCACTCCTAGGTATTTACCCAAGTATAATGAAAAACCTACATTCTAAATAAAAATCTGTACATCAATATTTATGAAAACTTTGTTTGTAATAATCAAATACTGGAAACATCCCAAATGTCCCTCAACTGGGAAATGGATGAACAAACTGTGGTATATTCATATATAGGACATCCATATGGGTCAGAATAATAGCAATAGAAGGGAATGAACTACTGACTCGTGCAACAACAGAAATGAATCTCAGATGCACTGTGCTAAGTGAAAAAGACAGACTCAAAAGCTACAGACTGTATGATTCCATTTATATAATGTTCTGCAAAAGTATGAATATAAGAACAGAAAACAGATCAGTGGTAGCCGGGGACTGAAGTTGGGGGAGAAGTTGACCACAAAAAACATGAGGAATTTGGGGTGGGGAGTGATAGAATACTATTCTATATCTTGACTACAGTGATCAAACAACTATATACATTTGTTAGAACTGTCTTAAAGGGGTGAATTTCACTGTATGTACAACACACCTTAAAATAAATGGAGGAAGGGGCAGGCACTACACCTCTTACAAGCCTGGGAAAACAAACTGATGGTTCTGCCCTCCAAAGATTCAAGTATACCTTGACCAGATATTATTATCCTTCCATGATTAAACTTAATGCTTCAGTTGTCTATGATCTCATGTATATTTATCCTATATCTCATATTAGAGTGAGGGTATTCAAGGCAAGAGTCTATTCTTATCTGCCTTCAGTAGCCTTGGTCATATATAGTAAAATCTTTGCCTTTCAAATACTGAATGATTACCTCTAATCTTCAAGCTAAACTGTCAAGAAGTTTTTCAAAGATATCACAATGTACATTAACAGAAATGCAAGAGATGCTGAGATTTCTCACTAACATTAGAAAAATCAAATTAGTCTTCTACCAGAGACATTATATAAACACATGCTACCCAAGCTAGTTTGCATCTTCAAATTCCTTAAGTTTCTCTAGCCAGTAGATTTTTTTTTTTCCACTAAAGCACTGGTTGCACAAAACCACAAGGGGGAATAGTTCACATTCTTATGGGGAAAGCTACTTTAGAAAGTATTGCATTCAAAAATTTGATTTGATTGTTCAATGAGATTTACTGTTCAAAATCACAGCAGTTTAATTAGTATTAGTTATATTAATAATTTACAACCATAATTATTAATCAGATAAACACATTTCTGCCCAATATCTTTTTTTCTTAATCCTCATCCAAGGACATTTTTGCATTTATCTTTAGATAGAGCAAGAGCGAGAGAGGGAGGAAGAGAGAGAGAGAAATATCGATGTGAGAGAGACACATCGACTGGTTGCCACCTACATGACCCCAATTGGGGCCGGGGACAAGCTGCAACCAAGGTACGTGCCCTTAGTGGGAACCAAACCTGGGATTCTCTGGTTTGCCGGCCGATGCTCTAACTGCTGAACCAAACTGGCCTGGGCTACCCAATTTCTTTTTTAATCTTTACCTGAAGATATTTTTCCATTTATCTTCAGATAGAGTAGGAGGGAGGGAGGGAGAGAGAGAAACATTGACGTGAGAGAGACCATCAATTGTGTTGCCTGCTGCATGACCCTGACCAGGGCTGGGGACAAACTGCAACCAACGTACATGCCCTTAACCGAAATCAAATCTGCAACTCTGTTCTGCGGGGCCGACACTCTAACTACTGAGCCAAACCAGCCAGGGCCTGCCCAATTTCTTTAAAAACAATAAGATACAGTTTAAAACACGAATTAAAAATGTATCTCAGCAAGATTTCTCCAACCACTTACTTGTATGTGCCAAAATACAATTACACACACATAAAATCCAACCTCCATTTTTACATAGTATCAACATTTATAAGATCCCTTATATCTATGGCACCATAGGATATAAACTGCCACATAAAAGATGGTTCTTACATTTGTAAAGCCTATAAGTCATTTAAAAAAAATATGCAAAGTTCATCATCAACAGGACCATAAGGGACATCTATGCTATGAGGCAGAGCAGACACCAGATACCGTATTCAAAGAAGGGCAAGATATTCCTGTAGGCAGGTGAGGAAAACTATGCCCAAAGTGGAGGATTTCAGTTGGGCTAGAGCTATGAGCAGAATTTCAAAGAGAGAGAAGATACGATTTTCTAGAAGCAGCAGCTTGAGCTGAGTCGTCATTTTGAAGCACTCAGCCTTACCACAGTAAAAAAAAAAAAGTTATTTCAACTGGTTTTAAACTCTTTACTCACTTTCTTCTTTCTTCTCTCCATCTTGCAATCTCCTCTGGAGTGTCTAACTTGATCTTCTTCATACCAGGAGCATGCATCTAGGGGGAAAAAGCCTGCTAAACATCAGGAAGCATATATATGCTTTTGATTAAATCTCAAGCATTAGGGGGGATTAATGGAGACTCTATACCCAATAGTTTACAACTAAGTAAGCATGCTCTGGCTGGTTTTTCTCAGTGGTTAGAGCATCAGCCTGCAGACCAGAGAGTCCCAGGTTTGGTTCTCACTAAGGGCATATACCTTGGTTGCAGTTTGTCCTCGCCCTGGTTGGGGTCGTGTGGGTGGCAACCAGTCGATGTCTCTCTCTCACATCGATGTTTCTCTCTTTCTCTCTCTCCCCCCTCTCTGTCCTACTCTATCTGAAGATAAATGCAAAAAACAAACAAACAAAAAAACTAAGCAGGTTTTATCCATCCTTATAATTTTTTCTTTAAAGAATAAAGAGTAGTTTCTGTATATTTAGATAAGTGCTGTTGATAAGAAAAAAAAGGAGTAACATAATTTTGGTTACAAAGTAAATGTGTCACTTACTTTTCAATTGACATTAAATACCCAAATTAATGACCTAAGAATCAAAATTGAGGGAGGTAGGTAAAGACATAATGAGTGCACAAAACAATTTGAAGCAACATGGTGTAGAAAAACCACCACAGCCCGGCTGGTGTGGCTCAGTGGTTGGGCATCAACCTATGTACCAACAGGTCGCCAGTTTGATTCCCAGTCAGGGCACATGTCCAGGTTGTGGGCCCAATCCCCAGTGGAGAGCATGCAGGAGGCGGCCAATCAATGTTCTCTCTCGTCGATGTTTCTATCTCTCTTCCTCTCTCTCTAAAATCAATAAAGAAAAAGAAAAACCACCACAGAATTTAGAGTTAAAAACTCAAATGCAAGAATCAGTTCTGAGGACCTGGGCAAATCACTATTTTATCTGTTACATAGGGTTAATATTAATTTACTTTACACAGTTGTTTATGAGGATAAAATTGAATAGTCGATGTAAAATTGCCTATTGTACAAAATAATGCATGAATGTTATTTATTATTAAACTATGCAAATGAAGAGCTGTTGAAGATAACTGATCAATGAATTGAAAGGGCATGTATCAAAAAAACCCCACATTAGAACTTACATTTCTCCAGTGGAATTGGACAATCTTCTCATGTGCACTAAAAGAACAATCTAATTCCGGACACTGTAAGAGTAAACAAGCAAACAAAAAAGACTATCCAATGTGTTCCAAGTTAAGTATACCCTATTACTACATATACAGACATATTATAGTTATATTACAAAGTTATCTCATCTATGGTGTTATCACTGCATAGTTATGTCAATAGTAAAACAAAGATCACTCCAAAACAGAGTTGAATTAAAAAAAAAATGACATTTTCAAAGTATATAATACCATAATACATATTATTTACTTTCCATGTTGTAAAATGATCTTTATTCCTCTATAAACTCAAAGAGAACCATTTCAAACTAAGAACTTTCTCTTTAACTTTACTCCTCAAATATTCTGGTTAAAAAAATTTTTTTAAGTACTTAATAAGGTCCAGACCATCCTTACAGTGTGATGGGCTATGGCAAATTGCAGTGTGGTTAAATGGTCAAGGGCAGTCTTAAAGGAAAATAACTTACAAAGGTGCACAGAGCAACTAGAAGGGAGAACCAGCCTTCTTACAAAGCAGAGGTCCACACATTTAACAGCTGCCAGACCTTCCTTCTTTGCTGCCCTCTTACCTCTTCCTGAAGGAGTGGGCTCCCCACCCTCAAACTACAAATCCCAATGTCACTGTCCCAATTTACCAGGTCATCGAATATGTCTATGAACTATAAACCCTTAAGGAAAAGAAGCTCAGAATTTCTACCAAATATACCCATTTTGCTAAATAAATTTGAGGACAATCAAGAAAACCTACCTTTGTATGTTCAGACATGTGTTTATCATATTTTTCTTGATTTTTAAAACCACGATCACAGGTATCACAAAAATAGTGAAAAACTGGTTCTTTTCTTTTCTGCAAACAAAAATTAAGAGGCATTAGGCTTTTGGTGAAAATCTTTAATCGATAATAAAAATATAACTATTTTTCCATACTTTGATTTTTCACATAACCTTTATATGTGGAAGGAAAACCTGAAGACATTACTAATGAAGGGATAATAAGTATAAATACAATATAAATATATTTAGTATAACAAATATTAACATATACATATTTAAAAGTACAGAGGGGAGCCAGCCAGTGTGGTTCTGTGGTTGAGCACTGACCCATGCACCAAGAGGCTGCTGGTTCAATACCTGGTCAGGGCACATGCCCAGGTTGTGGGCCAAATCCCCAGTGAGGGGTGTGCAGGAGGCAGCCAACCAATGTTCTCTCTCATCGATGTTTCTGTCTCTCTCTTCCTCTCCCTTCCTCTCTCTAAAATATCAATAAAGAAAAAATAAAAGTACAGAAGGGGAAAAATAATTATTTAGGTAAAGATTAGTTATTTTTTATCCTAATTTGCTACTTTATGCTTAAAAATAAAACAAAAAAGATTATTGCAATGATAAACTCTATTGGAAATATTTAATGTTGAGATGTTAATAAATATAGCACAGTTTCACAATATTTTGTTAATATTAGCTACATATTTTCATGCCAAAATAAAGAATCTTATTCAACTTATTCTAAACTACTGACATTATTTATACACTTTAAAAGTTGAAAGACCAGATTGTAAACTACATCAGAATGAAGGAAGCCCATTTTAAGACTTGGTTTCTGAACATAACCAAAAGTTGTTCCTCCTCCTCAAAAAAAGACTTTAATTCCATCTTCCCTACCAATCTTCTAGTAATAAACATATATAATTTATATACATTATATATTTTTTACTACATCAAGATTTAATAAAATTTACATTTACCTGTAACCATAATTCTCCATAACATTTACTCCTGATACTATATTGAAATAAATTCATATTTCCTTTTTCTATAATTTTCCCATTTATTTTTCAAAAAGATTTTACTTTAAATTCTTACTTAAGCCAAGCTCCTTAAAGATCCTATTATATAACAAGGCTCTACTGTAACAATTATGGATACAAAACACTGAGAGAGTTAAGATAGAAGCACAAGATATGAAAGAGTAACACAGGGGCCAAAATGTTACATTTAAGAACATCTTCAAAAATACCTTTTTTTTATGTTTTCTACTGGGAGGGAAGTTGAAGTCAGTAAACTTTGCATCATATTTTTGTGGAAAAAAAGAATGTGTAACTGAAAAACAAAAAAGAGATCCATAAATGTTTACAACTAAACAACTATTTAAAATTTTATTTGCTATAGCACGTCACAAGTACTTGAGTAAAACAGTGGTAAAACGCTCCTTCTAAGAAGAACAGTAGTTAGGACAAAGGATCAAAGATTAGGACTAGTCTACCAAATAAACATTTTTCAAATTAATACACAGTGGTAAGATGAAGTGTCCATAGATGCTTCTTTAGAATTTAAGCAATGGACGACCTAATATGATAAAAGGCCTTATAGTTGTTTCAAACATTTGAAACACAAACAGTAAAACCCCTAAAACAGCTCTTTCAACATCAATTTTACACCAGGAAGAAATCTTGTAAAATACATTTTCTCTCAAATTCTTTTCCTTTCCTATTGCCGAGACCCAGCTCTGAAACCCTGATCTTTCACCTAGATTACTGTGACAGCCTCCCAAATTGTTTTCCAGTTTCTACGTCCCCTCTTCCAACAGACCCTGCAGACTGACACCACAAAAATAATCCTCCAATCATCAAAACTCTGCTCAAAATCTGCAAATGGCTTCCTAGAGTCCTTCAATGAGATCCCAGTTTATTTTCTCACTCTTTCCCCATACCTTCCACATACACTGCTTCAGTCACACTAAAACACTGCAGTCTTCAGAACTCACAATGTACTGACTGATACCTCTTTGCCTCTACCTAAAAAGTATCTCTTAAACATTTCCCAAGACACTCCTTCTAAAGGCTGTTCCCAACTCAACACTCCAAAATCACCCTTTATATGCCTCTATCACCAGTCACACTGAATTGTGATTTACATTTATGAACCCATCTCACTGACTTAGGACTGCCTTATGCACATTCATATTCCCAGCATTCAGCTCACAGTAAACACTGATTTAGATTCAATTTAATGTAAACAGAATCTTATACAGAGTTGAAGAATGGTGAACAATCTCATGGCTTTAAATATGATCTGTATGCTGCTGATACCCAAATTTACAACTCCAGCCACAAATCTCCCCTGAAAGCACAAAATAGCTAACAGCCTAGCCCATTCAATATCTCTACTTGACACACAGATTACAAACTGACTCCTGGTCTTCTTTCCACATCTGCTTCATCCATACCCTTCCACTTGTTTGGCAAAAAACTTTTAAGTTACTATTATCTCCTCTTTACTTCACACCCCATATGTGATCCTTCAGCAAATCATTTTGGTCCTATCCTACCTTCAAAATATATCTAGAATCCACTACTTCTCATAACATCCTGAGCTCTGCCCTGGTCCAAGTCCCCAATATCTCTCACCTGGAAAACTACAATTACTTCCTAATTGGCCTCCCTTTCATTCACTTCCCATTGGTAGTCACACTGATTCTTTAAAAACATAGATCAAAATCATGTCACTATCCTACACTATCCATATCACAACAGTAAAATCAAAGTCCCATCAACTACAAGTCCCTCACAGGTATGCCCTCTTCCCCAATTCTCCACAATTCTACCTCAGTCCTCTTGAGCCACACTAATCTATCTACAGCTTCTGCCTCAAGGCCTTTGCAGTTGCTGGTCTTTCTACCTGTATCCCTATTCCGCTAGATGTATCCACAGATTTGATCCCTCCTTTCCTTTAAGTCTTTGCCGGAATGTCACCTTCCTTATTATTGACAATGACATTTAAAACTGCACTACCTAGCCTTCTTTGTTTTATCTCCCTCCATAGCACTCACAGCCTTCTAATACACACTGCATTTTGTTTATTGTCCGTTTCCTACACCAGGATGTGTTAAGCTCCCTAAAGATCAGGAATTTCGTATGTTTTGTTTACTGCTATATTCCCAGTTCCTGACACATAGTTGGAATTCAATAAATCACTGCTACATTGAATGAAAGGGCAAGGGAAACATTTCTGTCGGACAAATTGTGAGACATTAATGACCAGACTCCAGGAGTGCCGCACAAAGTCAGAAGTGAAGAGGGGGATGGGAGGGAGGGGACAAAACTGGAGAGTGAAGAAGGGGAGAAGAAAAGTAAAGGGGGGGGTGTACGGTGAGGAGGTACAGCCTACCCGGAGTGTTGTGGGATTTCTGATGCAGAGGAAAACTGCCAGGAGACTGTCTCCAGTGCCACGATGTCGCAGGCTGGAAACTCCAGGAAGGCTGGCCGTTGATTTGAGGCTGAGAATCAAGGCGGGACTGCGTGTCGAAGAGGGTCTGAGCCGCGGGAAGAACCTGGGTCTCCACGGGGGGCTGCGCCTGTGAGGAAGGCTCTGACCCTGCTGCGGGAGCCGACGACGAAGGCGGTGGAGGCGGCGGCGGCGGCAACATTGCCCAGAGCATCCATTTGTGCGGCAGCGAGGCCGTGTCGCTCAGAGGTCCCAACGTGGGGACCAGCTCGGGAGCCGAAAACCATCCCGCGGGGGTCACGAAACCACCGGCCGGCTCAGCCATGCCGCCCCGCCAGCTAGGAAACCCAGCGTGCGAATGCGGGGCCTGCCGGACGCGTCACTTCCGTTATCGCGATTCACCGGCTCAGCCAACCACAGGCTGCGGCGTCAAAGGTCCGCGCCGGAAAACCTGCAGCGGGGGCGACGGCTCGCGGGCTGTTTAGGGGGAGGTTTGAGTCTGTGTGCATAGATGAGTCTGTGTGGCTAGACTTGCCTGCGTGATTTTTTCGGCCGCCGCGCATGGCGAGGGATCTGATCGGGCCGGCACTGCCGCCCGGCTTCAAGGCCCTCGGGACCGCGGAGGGCGAGGAGCGGGACGCCAGCCCCGGTAAGCCGCGCGTCCGCTGCCTGCCGGGCCCCTGCCCCTTTTCCGCCCGGCCTCGCTCTCAGTGGAAGCCTGAGGCCTGGAGGGCGGGGAAGTGGGGTGGGCTCGGGCGACCCAAGCTGACTTTCCTTCCCAAGCCGTAGCAGTGGGGGAGGAGGCCGTGGGGGCCTCGGAGACGAGTTTCGGCCTGGTAACTACGATGATGATGTATTCCCGTTTAGCGCTAAGTGGACTCGAGGCTGTGCGAAACTGTCGATACACATTCAGTCATGTAACCCTCCGAGCAGTCGTGTAAGGTACAGATCTTGCGCAAAGAACGTCCAAACCTGTGCAAAAGTTTTATGAGACTGTTTGAGCCAAATTTTTGTGGACATGCCCCAAAAGCAAGATCTCAGCAGATTGAGAAAATGCCCTGGAGAAGGGCAGTTTTGCAGTTTTTTTGTTTTGTTTTTTGTTTTGTTTTTTTTCAGGTAGAGTGGGAGGGAGGGAGAGAGAGACATCGTGTGAGGGCCACATAGACTGGTTGCCTCCCCGCAGGACCCCAACCAAGGCCGGGGACCAAACCGCAACCGAGGTATGGGCCCTTGTCCGGAATGGACCTGGTGACTCTTTGGTCCGCAGAGTCCAGGCTCTAACCGCTAAGCCAAACTGGCCAGGGCTGCAGTTCTTTTAATGTATTTAGAATCAAAGGAGAAAATGTAAGAAAGGTACATGAAATCCACTAATGGTAGATTAAGGGAGTGGGGAACAAAGGGGAGCAATCTCTAGGATTGAATAAAAAGCGAAGTGAAGAAACATTTCTTTCACATTGGTAGGTACAGGATAGTTAATTAACATTTACAGTACATAAAGATGGTATTCAAGGAACAAGATAACAATGAGAGGTTGTGTGGTCTCTGGTGGTCCTATGTTCTGGTGCCTGCAAGTGTGCCTTTGAGGGGTCTAGAAAAGAAAACTACTCTACATTTTAAAGGTCTTTTATCCTAGATGCATAAGAACAATGGACCGGGCTCACTTAAGGTAAAGATTGACTCTTGCAAAGGAAGCTATAGGCCTGGGGTGTGACTACTTGCTAAGACCTGCCCAGAAGGAATTTGTGATCAGACCATCGTGAGTGGTTACTTTTGGTCACTGAGCTTATCAGGCCTGCCACGTGGCCCTGGTGACCTTGTAATGTTATTACATAGCCCCCTTTTTATTCACATTTCCATGTTATAATTGAGGACACTGAGGCCCAGGCTATTGCCCAGATCACACAGCTAGTGAGTGGTGGAGCCCTATTTAGAACAAAGCTGCTACTCTGTGTTTTACTGCCTTCTGATACTCAGTGTCTCTGGCTCTTGGAGAGGATACTTTGCTTGCTAGCCTGATCTGCTGTCCTAACTTCTAATTCTGTCATTGCATCTGACACACAGCCCAGTGCTCAAACCATTAGTTTCTGGCAGCTTCTCAATTCTCTAAGCTCCTTCCAGTTTTACTCTGCACTTTCTAACATATCGGGCAAACCTACTACCCCATCCTTGAAAGCCCAGCTAAAATGTCACTTCAGAGTAGCCTTTCCCAAGCTCTCCCAAGCATTGTCACACCTACCTCTTTACCCATGGGTTTTTTTCCTACTTAATTACATCATGTATTTAATACATTGTTTTGTTTGTTTATTTATTTTTTTATTTATTTTTATTGATTTGAAGAGAGAAGAAAGGAGAGGGGGAGAGAGAAAAAAAAACATTGACCGGCTGTCTCCTGCACACCTTCTACCAAGGATCAAACACACAACTTGGGCATGTACCCTGACCAGGAATCCAGCTGGGACATCTCAGTCCATGGGGCAATGCTCAGTCCACTGAGCCATACCAGCCGGGCTACCATATGCTCTTTATAAGGGGGGGAAAAACCATGAAATTGTTTCGGCAGTTATACCAACCAAAATTGTAACCAATGCAAAAATTGCAAGATGTCAGGGAAAATACATGTTATTGTTACATTTATAAGTTTGGGTATTAACATTTTTGTGAACCTCACAGTTATACTACACAAGACACGAATTCTTCCTTCCTAGAAATGTACACAAAGCAGAAGCAAATAAGATTAAAGTCCATAATAAATGATAGTCAGCCAGTGTTGTGAATTCAGAAGAGAAAGTATAAAATGTCAATTGGGGGTTCATTGAAAGAGTTGTGGTTAGTTATGACATACCCAAGAAATCTTTAGTTGCAGGACCAGCTCTACCACCTGATTATAAAAGCAGTAGTTCAGAGTCATCAGACAGCGATGAGGACAGTTCTTTGTACGAAGAAGGAAATCAAGAATCTGAAGAAGATGACACTGGTCCACCTGCAAGGTCAGTCACTTTTTTTTTTTTTAATCTTTATTGTTGAATGTATTACAGATGTTCCTTATTTTCCCCCCACTGACCCCCTCTTCCCCACTCTTGCCCCCTCCCGCCTTTTCCCACACTATTGTCTGTGTCCATTGGTTATGCATATAAGTTCTTTGGTTTATTTCTTCCCACCCCCCAAACCCTTTCCCTTTGAGGTTTGTCAGTCTAGCAATGAATTTGTACTTCTTAATCCCTTCACCTATTTCACCCATTCCCCCAACCCCCCTCCCATCTGGCAACCAACAAAATGTTCTCTGTATCTATGACAATGTTTCTGTTCTGCCTGTTCATTTTGTTTGTAGATCCCATTGTCGATATATATGTATTCATTGCCATTTTGTTTGTTCATATATTTTCTCTTTTTCTTCAAAAAGACCCTTCATCATTTCATATAATAACGGTTTGGTGGTGATGAACTCCTTTAACTTTTTCTTGTCTGGGAAATTCTTTATATGGCCATCGATTCTAAATGACAGCTTTACAGGATAGAGTAATCTTGGTTGTAGGTTCCTGCTTTTCATCACTCTGAATATTTCTTGCTACGCCCTTCTGGCCTGCAAAGTTTCTTTTGAGAAATCAACTGACAGCCTTATGGGAACTCCCTTGTAGGTAACTAACTGCTTTTCTCTTGCTGCTTTTAAGATTCTGTCTTTGTCTTGAACCTTTTGCATTTTGATGATGATGTGTCTTGGTGTGGGTCTCTTGGGGTTCATCTTATTTGGGTCTCTCTATGCTTCCTGGATATGTGTGTCTGTTTCCTTCACCAAGTTAGGGAAGTTTTCTGCCATTATTGTTTCAAATAGGCTTTCAATTTCTTGTCCTCGCTCTTCTCCTTCTGGCACCCCCAAGATGCGAATGTTGGCACACTTGAAGTTGTCCCAGAGGCTCCTTACACTATCCTCATTTTTTTGGATTCTTTTTTCTTTTTGCTGTTCTGCTTGGGTGTTTTTTGCTTCCTTATAATCCAAACCAATGGTTTGCTTCTTGGATTTACCTACTCTACTATTGAATCTGTGTAAATTATTCATTTCAGTTAATGCCTCCTTCATTTCTGACTGTGCATCCATCATTTCTGACTGGTCCTTTTTTATGCTCTTGAGGCCCTCCCTAAGTTCACTGAGGTTCTCACTAAGTTCATTGAGCATCCTTATAAGCAGTATTTTGAACTCAGCATCTGTTAGGTTGCTTATCTCCATTTTGCTTAGTTCTTTTCTTGGGGTTTTGTTCTGTTCTTTCATTTGGGACCTGTTTCTTTGTCTCCTCATTTTGGCTGCCTCCCTGTGTTTGTTTCTGTGTATTACTTAATGAGAGGTGTGGGGCTAGCTGAGACCAGATGCTGCCTGTTTGAAGAATTTAGGAAAAACCTGAAGCAGGATCCAAGACAGGCCAACTCTATGGTTAAGCAACTGGCAACAGCTTGGGTGGGCCTGAAAGTTGGGTGGGGCAGGGCCTCAGGGAATCACCAGGGCGGGGCTACTGGTTAGAGCCAGGTTGCTGGAGTCCCAGTTATGGGGACTGTTTGCTACCCCAGGGAAGGGCTCACCAAAGAAACAAAGGCCTGTGACAGCACATTTGTCCTGGAGAAAGCCCCCTCTCCATCCCTCGCTCCAGTGCCAAACAGCTCAGTTCTTCCCTGTATGTCTCTGCTGCCCCTCAAACTGCTTCCCCTCCAAGCTTAGAAGGAGTGAGTCCGGTAAGTCCGTGTGTGGGCCCTTTAAGGAGCTGCCTGGGGCTCCAGCCGCCTCAGCCTCCCTGAGCCTCAGTTCCCGCTGGTTTTTCCAGCCAGAAGTTATGGGGACTTCTCTTCCTGGCACTGGAACTCTGAGCAGGGCGTCTGGTGTGGGATGGGGAGCCTCCTGATTTTTATCCACCACATGTGGGTGTGGGATTAGCCCGTCTGGCCTCTGCCCCCCTACCAGTCTCGATGTGGCTGCTGCTTTAATTCTATAGTTGTAGGACTTCCGTTCAGCTTGATTTCAGGTGGGTTTGAATGATGGTTGTTCTGTAGTTTAGTTGTAACTTTGATGTGGTTGTGGGAGGACGCGATACCGTGTTTACCTACGCCGCCATCTTGACCGGAAGCCCTCAAGGTCAGCCTCTTTCTAAATCCAAGCTTCAAACCTGGTATACGGGTTGGCTGGAACAGATAGCTACTAAGGGGAATGTCACGTCTTCATTTGTACAACACAGGAAGAAATCATTTCATGTGACATTTCCTCATGAACTATAGCTTTTACAAAGAAATTTATTCTAGGAGTACATAGATGTCGCAATATCTAGAATTTCAATAAAATCTCATAGAATTTTTTCTTAAGGTATTGTTAAAGTGACGCAATATTCTTAAATTATTAAATTCGTATAGACTTTTTCCCTAAGATATTATTAAAGTGACATAATATTCTAAATAAATCATAGAATTTATTTTTTTTAAATTACATATGCAGTGTTTGTTTGTTTGTTTTTTAAATTAAATGATTTCCCTCTAGCCTTACCACAGGTTCTTGTAAATAATATGTTGAATCTTTATTATTAAGTAGCAAGGGTTTTTCTTGATGTATTTTAAAGATTATGAGACAAATAACAACATAAAACTCTTCCTTAAATGAGATTAAAAGCCAAAGTCAAAAACAGCTAGTAAGCAGACTGCTATTGGAAACTTCATTGAGTGGAAGCTTTAGCACCACAGAAAGTGTAGAAAATTGATATATTATTGCTGTAAAAAAGTAACCAATCTCTTAACTATTTTAGGCCAAAAATGAATTCCAGGAAAATATTTGTAGAAGACTGTGGTATTCCTTCTTTGTTTTGTTTTTCGTTTGTTTGTTTGTTTTTAAATCCTCCCCTGAGGCTACCTTCCGATAGAGTAGGAGGGGGAGAGAAAGAGAAACATCAGTGTGAGAGAGACACATCAATTGGTTGCTTCCCGCACAACCCTGACCAAGGCTAGGGACTGAACCACAACTGAGTTATGTGCCCTTGACTGGAATCGAACCTGAGACTCTTTGGTCTGAGGGCCAACACTCTAACTGCTAAGCCAAACCAGCCAGGGCCATTTTTTGGTGTTTTGTTTTGTTTTGTTTTGTTTTATTGTTAACTTGGCAAGATTAACTTACTTTTTCAGTATTTATACAACTAGTTGAAGTTAAAAACTAAAATTTCTGTGAAAATATTTTTGACATATACATAAAGTTACACTACTATGTTTCCAGAAAACAGAGGAGAAATCAAGATGATGATGATGATGATGATGATGAAGGATTTTTTGGACCAGCCCTTCCTCCTGGATTTAAAAAGCAGGATGATTCTCCTCCAAGGTGATAATGTATAATATTTCAGGGTAGTCTTTATGGTAGGCTGGGTGGAACATTATTCTTCTTTCCCCTTTCTGTAAACAGATAAGGTTGCACCCATAGTAAGTGGTAGACCTAGGATATAGGATAATGGTATTTGACTTTTAATCCAGACTTTTTTATTTCATATTTATATATGTATACACACGTATGTGTGTCTGGTATGGTGCCTGGCACAGAGTAAGCGTATAATAAATATTGATTCCTTTCTTCTTCTTGGAATTACAAAATTTTGAAATGTTGAATATGAAATTGCACACCCAATTATTTATAATTCATAACACTGAATACCAACATGTGAGAACAAGTTTTAAAGATAGGCTATTGTACATTTCATATTCAGAGTTTATCATCAAATTTGTCAGCTCCTAATTTTCAGAAATAACAGTGATAGACAGTCTACTGTCTTATTTCTGGATGGCCTCCAAGCTAATAATGATCTTTAAAAGGTCATTAAAAAAAAACAAACACAAATATGCAACAGAGACCCAAGTGTGGCCCTCAAAGCCTAAAATTTCCTTTCTGGACCTTTATAAAAATTTTGCTAAGAATATAATATGCCTTTCAAGAAAATAAGTATTTAGATGTATAGCAGTTTCTTTTTTGAGAATTGTGTTTTGGCAGAAATTAATAGGCGGTAGCATATAATGTAGGCAGAATCCTTTTACACAGCCATACCATGCCATGTTATATTCCTTTACTATATTTTAAGACTTCATGTACCAGTAATTTTATCTCCACAAATTCCCTGAGGCCAGAGAATTTAGCTGTAATTGCACTTGTAGATCTGCTAATAATTGTCCTCAAGAAAATATTCCATGTACTACTTTCTTATATCTTATGCTAACTATTTGTTTGTTTGTTTGTTTGTTTTATCCTCACCCGAGGACATTTTTTCCATTTTTTGTTCAGATAGAGGGGGAGGGAGAGAGAGGAAGAGAGAGAGGGAGAGAGAGAGAGAGAGAGAGAGAGAGAAACCGAATATCGATGTGAAAGGGACACATCGAGTGGCTGCCACCCATACCACCCAACCAGGGCCAGGGACAAACTGCTACCAAGTTATGTGCCCTTAGCGGGAACCGAACCCAGGTCTCTGGACCGCAGGCCGACGCTCTAACTGCTGAGCCGAACCGGCCAGGGCTGACAACTAGTTTGATCTTTCTAACAATGCCAAACTTCCCTGTTTTTTATATAAAAAGTTTTTTGCCTCCACGAGGTTATGAAATGGCTAGGATCTGTATCTTTAGTACTGTTTTTCCTCTGCCAGGAAGCCTGTCTGTGAGGCTCTAATTGAACACAGTGCAATCTGGAAAATTCAGCTTAGGACTTCAGTACCATCTTGGTTGGTAATACTGATACAGTGACATCTCTGGAAAAAGTATTAGTATGAAAGAATAAAGAAACTTAAAAGTATGAAAGAGTAGAAAATATCTTTTCTCTTATTTTTTCTATACAAAGTAAGCCTTTCTCTTTTTAAGACCTAGAATTGAAGCAGTTCTCCCTTCTGGACTGATGACATTTCCCTCAGAATGTAGCAATAGGGCAGCTTGAAAGAAAGTGAACTTTTCATCACGTAGACCAGGATTCAAACTCCAGCTCTGCCGCTTACTAATTTGTGTTGCTCTTGGGCTCTGTTTTGCTGACGTAGAAAATGGAGTGGCTTATACCTGGCAGGCTTATTTCATGGAAACAAAAAGGTGTGCTGATTGAAAATGTGCTTAGCATGGCACCTTTTCCTTTTTTCTCAAATGAACAATTTTCTTTCTTGTACACTTTGGGTTATTAGGACAAGGCTTAGATTTTTATACCACCTGGGCACGTGTAGCCATAAATTGCTTGACATCTGCTGTATGCATGTGCTATAAATTTCCTTCAAACTCAGTTTATATTTAAGTAGTTCTGACTATAATTACAGTGTCCCTAAGGTATTTTTCAGTGGACAGTGAAGATCAAGACTGAAAACCAAGGCACAAGATAGAAAAACATCTTCACAGGTTTTAGTCCATAGTAATTCTTTATTCTGAAAACTGCTTTTTTTAAGTCAAGGGAAAATGACCAATATACATTTTATTTTTCAGGCCTATGATAGGTCCTGCATTACCACCTGGTTTCATTAAATCTACTCAGAAAAGTGACAAAGGCAGAGATGATCCAGGACACCAAGTATCATCGTGTTTCAACTCTGAGGTTTGGAAAAAAATTTTAAATATTTGTATTGATCTTTTAGAGAGAGGGAAAAGGAGAGAGAAATGGAAACATCAATGTGAGAAACATCAATCGGCCACCTCCTGCATGCTCCCCCAGTGGGGATCAAGCCCGCAACCCGGACATGTGCCCTGACTGGGAATTGAACCAGGACCTCTCAGTCCATGGGACAGTGCTCAGTCCACTGAACACACCATCCAGGCTGGAAGTTTTTTTGTTAAAAGATAAGCTGTAACAAACTCAAGGCTTTACATAGCAATGACTACAGTTATTTGACTAAGATGTGATGTAAGACAGTCATATTCAGATTAATTGAGTATCATAGCATAAGTAGATAAATCAAAGCTTATTATTTTAGACCTGAGGTTTTATTAGAAAAACAATATGTAATGTTGGAAGGGTACTACCTATTCATTCTTCCCATCCTTGAAAGGAAGCTTCAAAGTGCTAGGAAATAGAACATGATGAAAATTTAAGGAATTGATGTAATTTTATCTAGAACAGAGAAAGCTGAGAAATTTTTAAATAATGATCTTCACCTTGGAATTAACTGTCTCCTGCCTAGCTCTGGTACCTGTATATAGCAGAGGCACTGGCGGACATGTAGTTTTTATGAAAACATAGATTGAATGATTTTGGAGTCAAGTGTGAAGACTGTTTTCTTGTTGGAAGCCAGGTGTTCAACCATAGCTGAGATTTGTGCAGTGCTTTATAATTTGTAATGCATTTTACTCACATATGTATATTACTTTTATCTTCTCTACGGCCTTATGATATAGTTATAATCACATCTTACATTTGCTAGAAACAAGAAAAATTGGGTAACGTACCCAAGACTGCATGGTTTGTACTTACTAAAGCCCCAGTTCTTAAGCCTTTAAATCCCCTGTTCACTCTTTTATTCTGCATTGCTTCCTGTATGCTTATCTTCACTGAGAATTCAACAGTTACACTGAGGTTGTTAAGAAAATACTATGCAGTGATTAAGATTATGAACTTCAGAATCATTTATTCATTGTTTTACCAATATTATAGAGCACTGCCCTGGCTGGTTGAGCTCAGCGGTTAGTGCGTCGGCCTGTGGATCAGAGAGTCCTGGGTTCGGTTTCCGCTAAGGGCACATACCTGGGTTGCAGTTTGTCCCCAGCCCCCATTGGGGTTGTGTGGGTGGCAGCCACTCGATGTGTCTCTTTCACATTGATGTTTCTGTCTCTCTCTCCCTCCCTCCCTCCCTCCCCCTTTATCTGAAGACAAAAATATATAATAGAGCTCCTACAGTGTGTGAGGCATATAGTCACAGAAATGAATCTGTCAACAAATTCTTTTTGTTCCTGCCTTCAAAGACATCCAGAATCCAGCCACTTCTGTTACCACCCTGGTCCAACTCAACGTCATCTTTCACCTGATTTATTGGTTTTTCATGCTTTAGTCTTTGTTCCTCTACTACCTCTTCCCAACACAGCAGCTAGAGTGGCCTGTGTGAAACAAAGTCAGATCATGTCACACTCTCAGAACCACAAACCACTCCTCCTCTCTCTTCATATAGCCAAAGTCTTCATAGGGCCCTCTACTACCCGGCCTCCATTAGCTCCCTGATTTTCTCTCTCATTCGGATCCAACCACACTGGCCTCCTTGCCATACCTCCTCAAGTACAGGGCTTCTACCCCCGAGCCTTTGTACCTGCTAAGTCTCTCCAAAATAGTCTTCCCAAGATATCTTGTGTCTTACATCCCAGACTTTTCATTTTTCTGCTGGAATATGACCTAAAATAGGTCATTTCTGACCTAATTTAAAACTGCTGACTCCTCTTCCCTTTACTCCTATCCCCTTCCCTCCTTCAATTTTCTCCATAGCATTTAACACTACCTAAGATAACCACTTATTTTACTGCTTCTTTTTGTTTACTACTGACCTCTCCCCACAAGACTGGGAGTCCGTTGAGGACAGAGATTTTTGTCTTATCTCCAGTAGACATTCAAAATATTTGCTGAATGAATGAATAAGTCAGACACAGTCCCGGCCCTCATCGCACACACAGTGTAGTGGGGAATATGTACAATAAACCATACTATCGTATTAGAGTGATTCAAAAGGGGAGACAAAATATAGTGGAGCTGTGGCAGGGAAATCTTATCAGAAGAAATGAGAAAAGGTCTTTTTCTCTGAGAAAATGTCTAAACTGAAGATTGATGAGTTGGAGCTAGCTTAGCAAAAAGGACAGGAAAGATTGTTCTAGAGAGTACCAATAGCTTATTTTAAGACAAAAAAGTGTGGAGAGGGAGAAAGTTAGGGTTCTAAATAATCTAGTATGGTTAGAGTGAAGAGAACCAGGAAAGGGGTAAGAGAAAGGGAACGAGGTAGGCAAGAACCACTCAAGCTTTGAATCCTGGCTGAGCTTAGTTTCATTATTAGCATGCAGGTCGTTATCTTACAGACTGTCATAAGGATAAATGAGAACAGTATGTATTCAGTTTATGATAGCTCTTTTTATTGTTACTGCTAATAGTAATATCACCACCTCCACTACTGATGCCTTGAGAGTGACTTGGAAGAGTATAAGGAATGCTTTCTATCTGAGTTGTTAAATATAGGAATAAATGACCAGAGGTACGACTTCAGCCCTATGGAAGACTGAGCTGACAGGTTCAGGCTTGGCTTTCCCCCCACATCACAGAGGAATGCTGGGGAAAAATAAGATAGCAGCATAGTTAATACATAGCTAAGCTTAGAAGAAAGAAAGGGAGCCCAACCAGTGTGGCTCAGTGGATTGAGCATCATCCCATAGACTGAGAGGTCCCAGTTTGATTCCCAATAAGGGCATGTGTCTCGGTTACAGGCTCAATCCCCAGTAGGGGGCGTGCAGGAGGCAGCCAGTCAGTGTTTATCTGTCACATCCATGTTTCTATCTCTCCCTCTCTCTAAAAAAATAAATTTTAAAGAAACTTATTTTAAAAAAAGAAAAATAAAGGGAAATCCATGGGAGCTAGTATCATTGAAAGAATTCAAAGCCAGAGCAGTAAACACAAGTTGCACAGCAGAGGGCCACAGTAGTCTTAGAGGAACCAGCCGTGAGCCCTGGAGGATTGGGCACAGGGGTGGGAACTGTAGGTTCAGACTCACTCAGGCAGAGGAGAGTGAATTGAGCCTGCTGAGTAAAACCCACAGCCTCAAAGCACTGCTCTGTCTGCAAAAAGAGTACTAGAGAAATGGAACCTACTGTCTTTAGGGAAGTTTGCTTCAATTTCGGGCCTTATCATACTATTTGTCCCACTTTCAAATCATCACACACACAAAAGGTGAGGGTATGTCTTTCCAACTGTCTATCTGCCTCAGAGAAAGAGGGGTAGGGATGGGGAAAGAAAAATAAATGTGGTAAAATGTTAGCAATTGATGTATTTGGGTGAGGATGCAAGGGTGGTGTACTTGTCTTGGCACTACATTCTTTCAAAATAAAATTTAAAGATGTAGCATAATTCAACTTTATTCACACCTGGAACTTGGTCCTAACTCACCTAGGCAGCAAATGGGTAGTTTATATAATTTCCCTAGTGGTATCTATTCCACCTTATCTGGCTACTCTTAGCAAAAGGGGAGGGGTGAAGGTGGTGTAGAGATTACACCATAGCATACCTGTTTAAGGTTCTCTTGGTTCTAAATTCTTTGTTTTGTAATTTCCCTTTCAGCCTTTTTCAAAAGACGCTTTTTGTTTTGTTTTCATATTCTTCTTCCTCAAAGAAAGGCTTCTCTTAGTCCCTCATTCACAACATATACTCCAGATTAAGGCATACGCAGTAATACTAATGGTTAACATTTGCTGAAGCACTTGCCACAAACCAGACACTGCAGAGTGCAACATAAACTCATATTTGCATGAATTAATTATCTTTGCATAACTGCATAAACTTAATTTAATCCAAATAACAATCCTGAGGGGTAGCGTGTCAGCTAGAATGCTTCTGCTATAAAGAAAATCCAACTTATAATGCAATTTTGTCTTAACCTATGTAGTTAGCAAATGGGTTGTTTGTATAACTTCCTGGCTGGTATAGGATCTATATTCGCAAAATGAAAGTGTGTTTCATACATAGTAAGAAGTCTACAGATGGGGTCATTCTAGGGTTTGTTAATTCAACAGCTTAATGAGATCATTGGTTTTTTTTCCATCTTCTCTATCATCTACAGTGTGTAATTCCTCTTAGGCTGACCCCTTTTTATGTCAAGAATCCTGCCAGAGTTCTAAGATGCACATGCAGATAGCAACGTCCAGACATAGAAGGGGATGGTCCCTGCCCTGTGTTCCTTGCAGCGGTTCTCTCTGTACCGCAGGCTGACACTCTAACCGCTGAGCCAAACCGGCCAGGGCCTTGCAGCGGTTCTCAACCTGTGGGTCACGACCCCCTTTGGGGGTTGAACTACCCTTTCACAGGGGTCGCCTAAGACATACAGTAGCAAAATTTAGTTATGAAGTAGCAACGAAAATAATTTTATGGTTGCGGGTGACTACAACATGAAGAACTGATTAAAGGGTCGCGGCATTAGGAAGGTTGAGAACCACTGCTTTATAAGAAAGAAAGCCTTCCAAGGTTTTCCATAGACCTCTTCTCAGATTTCTTTGGTCAAGACAAATGAGACCAAAGTGTTTGGCTTAGAATTATCAACATTTCCCCCCAGGAGTTAGAGAAAGTCAGCTTCATCCAATAACTACTCTGTTAAGAGACCACTAGTTTTGTTCATCCTCTTTGGAGCTGTGCTCTTCTCGGGAAACTGGGACCTTCTCTAACTCCTGGGGGGAAATGTTGCTAATTCTATGCCAAACACTTTGGTCTCAAAACCAAGGCCTAGAAAGGTTAAATAACAAGCCTGAGGTCATAGGGCTAATACAGTGGCAAATTGAGGCCTCGAAGCTCAGTCTAACTCTGCAGCCCAAACTAGAACCCAGTAGGGTACATAATGTCTATCATATTTCTGAGTAAAATAACTCACCTTTTTGTTTTTTAAAAATTAACTCTTCCGGGACACCAAAATTACTTAATACCTAGATTGAATTTGGGCTTATGATTCCAGCTTCTCGTTTTCAGTTTAGTGTGTTGGACCTGATTTTCTATTTGCTCCTCTATACAACCATTTAGTTAATGTCTCCCAACATCCCAGGTGATTTTTATTTCTAAAACCTTCAGGCATCGTCCTACCATGACATGCTGAAATTTACCTTTATAAAACCATCTTTTGTTAAGTAAAAATACCATTAGCTTATTCCATCATCTTAAACTTCAATACCATGTTAATATGTCTCTTATAGTTTTAAGAGTTCATTATATTTTTTATATTTGCTTATTTATGTCACAAAGTATTATATTTGTAGGGTGGTTATAAACTGTTTAAGATAATGTCTTCGACATCAAAGAGCTACTGTTGTAGAGATAAATTGTAAACACTTAAATCTTTAACAGTTGAAATAAAGAAAATAATAGAGGGGCTGCTGAGTTATAAATACTGTCCTTGATCTTAGAATATATGAATCTTAAACGCTAGTTTTATAATCGTGGACAAGATGTTTAACCTTTTGAAATATTAACTGAAGTTTCCTCAAAAAGAAAACAAATAATATTGCCATTTCACAGTGTTGTTATGAGGATCTAATTAGGCATGGTACACACAGTCCATAGTTACTGGGAGAGAGTATATGGTTTAGAGTAAGGCGCAAGACATCATATAATTATCTAATTCTTTGTACCAGTAGCAATTGCTATAAGGGTTCAGAGAAGAAACTACAAATAGAAAGGTACCTTTGAGTGGTTAGTAGGGAAAATGTAAACAGTACAAATGAACTCCTGATCCTGGCAGTAAGAAAAAAATAAGAAGAGGCTGCCTATCAGAGCTGGAGGACAAACATATTTTATTGTTCATCTTAATATGTCATTTTTTGGGACAAGGACTACTTGAAACCCTACTGTATATAGCATCTAATCCAGAGTCTTACATGAAAACCCTTTATTAAAATGATTTAAGAAATTGAATTCAGTAATTATAATATTGTTATATATTTGGGGTAAATGTCGTACTTGGGGAACCAAATTAACTCATTCCCGTTAGCATTTGTGAAATGCACAGCATTTCTGTTTTCAGTGGAATTTCCTGAATCATAAAAGCTTACAAGAGTGTCTCACTTGTGTGCTTCTTACTCCAAAGAGCTCTTTCTGAACCAGGAATGCAGAGAGTTTCAACTCGTGCCATCTCTGACCTATTGGTAATAATGACCTAGAATATCACTTTGAGAAGAATTGTGAGGCCGCCACTGTCCACCAGGAAGAGAGCTGAGATTAATTTAACCTCCTTGGAACGGGAGGTAGGACAACCCACATGCCATGGGTTTGTCATCTCTGTACTGTGCACTAGAGGAAGGCACGGCAGGCATCCTTGTTGCTCAGCAATTAGCTAGCAACATAGTTTGCTTTTTTGTTTTATTGTCTCTAAGTTATCAGATTCAGTTAAATTTTAAGTAATTTTGCATCATTTTCTATAACCTCTTGGTTTAAAGGTAATGTCTTCTTTCAAAAGGAAACAAATAGCAGTGACGATGAGGACATTGTTGGACCAATGCCTGCGAAAGGACCAGTTAACTATAGTATAACAACAGAGTTCGAAAAAAGGGCCCAGAGAATGAAAGAGAAACTGACTAAAGGAGATGATGTAAGTTTTAAATATGCTATATGCTGAGAAATAGACTAAGTTAAAAATCTAAATTTTAAAACTAGACATTAAAAAATACATATACAGAGTGGGGTAAAAGTAGGTTTACAGTTGTGAGTACACAAAACATGTTTTTTTGTATTTTTTATCCTCACCCGAGGATATGTTTATTGATTTTAGAGCGGAAGGGAGAGAGAAACATTGATCAGTTGCCTCCTATAGTCGCCTCAACTGGGGGTCAAACTGCAACCTAGATATGTGCCCTGAACAGGAATCGAACCTTGCGGTGTATGGGATGACACTCCAACCAAGGAGCCCCACCATCCAGGACTGGTTTATTCTTGTATTCTTATTTATTGATTTTTAAATTATTTTCCATACGAACAACTGTAACCCTACTTTTGCCTCACCCAGTAGAGAGAAAATTTTGGAGCTGGGTAACCCAGAGCTGGGAAAGGAAAGACCGCAGATTTGCCTGAGTGTTTTAGTGTGGTAAAGATAAAGTCAAAGGAACAGTAAACTAGATGAAAATATTTGTGACACATGTGATAAAAACATCATTTCTTTCTATTAAATCCTTTTTCTTAAAGTCTGTTACTTAACTTTAAAGCCTCAACTGGGAAACATAGTCACTTATGACAGTATTTTACATGCACGTGCACTCTTTCCAGGTTTTTTTTTAAACTTTTGTTTCTCTGAAAGGATTCAGCCAAACCAATTACAAGGGAGTCGTGGATGACTGAGCTTCCTCCGGAACTGAAAGCCTTTGGTCTTGGGCCCAGAACTTTTAAGAAGAGAACCGATGACAAATCTGGAGATCGATCAGTCTGGACAGATACTCCAGCTGACAGGGAAAGGAAGGCCAAGGTGAAAGTGTGTGTTTGTGTATTTCTGTCCGTGTTGGCTCTATTTTGAAAAGACATAAGGCAAAATTATTTAAATTATGATTCAAAAGGGAAAATACAGATTTCCCCATGAAGGAAAGTTGGAAGGAAGGAAAGTGACATCAGTTTCTTACTATTTCCCAATAAATTGTATCAGAACACCCTGGGGCATCGGTTTATTGATCTTATTTTATAGGAGAAGCTAACCTCTATGAGGTCGATTTTTCTGGAATTACAGTGCTGGTAAGTGATGAGCAATAATTCTATTCTAGAACTTTCTAACTCCAGAACTGGTCCTTATACAGCATCATACTATTACCATGACAGGGTAGCTTTTAAAATATCTTGGGGAAAAAAGCCACAGATTAACCTAGATAAATGATGCATAAAGACTCATTTTACTATCAAGATAGGCAAGAAGCACTTCAGTGCTAAATGCTGTATGTTCTCACTTAACGTGGAATCTAAATAAAGAACAAGTTCATGGATATAGAGAAGAAATTGGTGGTTGCCTGAGGTGGGGGGGTGGACAAATGGGTGAAGGAGGTCAAAAGGTGCCGATTTCCAGTTATAAAATGAATAAGTTCTGGAGATGTAATGTACAGTATGGTGACTATAGTTAATAACACTGTACTGCATATTTTAAAGTAGCTAGGAGACTAAATATTGAAAGTTCTCATCACAGGGGGAAAAAATTTGTAACTATAGTGACGAATATTAACTAGATTTATTGTGGCGATCATTTTGCAATACATTACAAATCATTATATTCTATACCTGAAACTAATATAATGTTATGTCAGTTAGACCTCAGTAAAAAAGAAGCACTTTCATCAACACATTAAATAATTTACAAAATATATACCCAAAAAAAAGTATGCATAAAATACATTATTTTTAAATTGTCTTTTGAATCTTTTCTGTTTATTATGAAATACACCGTTGTAAATTAGGAGTTGGACCAGTGTCCCCAGCACTACTCCTTAAATTTACCCCATCCAAAGGTTTTAATTTTCTTAAGGTATCCCATTCAAATCTTAACTGCTCTCCTAATAAACCTTATGCTTACAGCTTTATCAGTTCTGACTTAAACAGTTGCACACTTAATTCATTCCCCTCACTCTGTTTATCTTGTTCATTAGTAGCTAGAATTATGAGGATTCCTGTTTTAATTCCATAACTATAAATTGTGTTATAAGCATTCTGTTGCAGGTAATAGGAAAATAAGAAAGCTCCCTCAGGAGCTTTTATTTTAGTGGAAAACTGCTTGTGAAATAGTGTCATCCTTAAAATGTGGATAGTATGTTGAAGTCGTCACATTTTAGCACCCTACCCTGAGTGTGGTGGCATCATGAGTTCTCTGTTGCCCTGAAGATGAAAGGGGATCTGAGAGCTGTCATAGGGAGGTGAAGTGCACCAACATGCCAGGGGCAGAAGAGGCAACAAAGGATGTGGTGGAAGACCTGTCTAATCTTTCTTAACTGGTCTCTTATAAAAATAATATACTATTAGCATGTTTATAATTTAGCCGTTAACGTTGTCTCCAAAAACACAATTAATTCCCTTACATATGTGGACTTTTTGTATGTGCTGCATTTACTTAGGCACTTTTCTGTCCTCCTTTTCCTCATTGTAGATGAATAGATGTCTAGCTTATAGCCAGATGTGTAGGGAATCCTCTTTAGAGGAAGGTACTAACAGGAAAAGGCAACACATAAAAACGAGTCAGTACAGTCTGAATGTAAGTGTGATTGTAGGCCCTGTGACTGAGCTCTTTAGATCTGGTCCTTCTTTTCAGGGCTAAGAATGTATTTTTCAGTGTTTACAGTGGACTCAAGGGATTTACAGTACCTATATTACAACGGATAGTATCACGGACTTATACATATTTGTGGTGCAGACTATATATTGTCACAGCTATTTGTTTTCTGATATTTTTAATCCTGTGTAAAGTTCACGACTAATATTTTATTTTTGTAACAGATCTTAGTCCTTTTTTTAAAATTTCCTTTTTAATATGTTCTCTTCACCACTTCCTCTTACTTTTTTATATTTGATTCTGCAGCATACATTGCCCATATCACTAATGTTCTCACATTCACTTAGCCAACATTACCTAAAAGAAGTAAAATTGCTCTTCAGAAAGAAAGAGAAGGATGATACATAGGTTAATTGGTTAAGATCTGTTATGTTCTCACCTCTCAGTCTTGACTAGATCTATTAACTCTTAAATGATCAGGTTTTTGTCTCCATCTACCATAACATCATTTTTCTCTGAATATTTACAAGTAGAAGCATCTGTTTTCTGGGAAATGTTTTAAGGAAAAATAAGACTTGAGCTATTCCCATGTTTTTAACATACTTTATTAAATACAACATTGTCTTAGTCCATTATTAAGATTAAAATTGTATAAGAGCCTCATTGGTTTTCTTAAGTAAATAGCAACAATATAAAAAATATGCTTTGAGCCCTGGCCAGTTTGGCTCGGCAGTTGAGCATCAGCCTGTGGACCAGAGAGTCCTGGGTTCGGTTCCCTCTAGGAGCACATACCACAAAAAAATATATATATATGCTTTGAAAACAATGGTTTTCAATTTTTTTTTTTCTAACTAAAATTTGTTGGAAATGGACCTAAGTACATACTTCATTTTTGTGTGTGCTATGGTAAATGGTTGTTTTTTATGTTCATTTCAAATTCCAGGTGTTGATGCCGGTATATTTTGTATGTTGGCCTATGTTCTACAACTTTACTGTACTTATTAGTTTGAGGAGTTTTTCTGTTGATTCCTTGGGGTTTTTCTACATAGACAGTTTGTCATCTGTCAATGTAGTTTTCTTTTTCTTTTTCAATCTACACCTTTTATTTCCTTTTCTTAATTCATTCCCTCAAGAGTGATTTTCAAGTTTTGAAAACAAAATGCATGATTTTTTGAGGCCTTATTTTATATTTTACTTTTCATTATTGTTTGTCAGACTCATGTCTGAGTTCAAGAAATAGGTGATTCTGCCCTGGCCGGTTTTGCTCAGCGGTTAGAGCGTCGGCCTGCGGTCCAGAGAGACCCGGGTTCGGTTGCCGCTGAGGGCACGTACCTCGGTTGCAGTTTGTCCCCGGCCCCAGTTGCAGTTGTGTGGGTGGCAGCCACTCGATGTGTCCCTTTCGCGTTGATATTTCCCTCTCTCTCTCTCTTCCTCTCCCTCCCTCCCACTCTATCTAAACAAAAAATGAAAAAATGTCCTCAGGTGAGGATAAAAAAAAAGAAATAGGTGATTTTTCCAGTTAGTTGATTAGATGGAGTTGTGGTTGTTGGGTTTTTTTTTCTTGTTTTTGGGAAAATCTTAGAATACTAAGACCTCTTATTGTGTATATTAACATTTCTAGTGGCAAGAGTTTCAACAAGTCTGGCTTAGTTTTATCTCTAATCACTCATTCTGACTAAAAATAAAGATATTTATTTTTTTATTTTCTCTTAATTATATGGTTCGGTAATGTGTTATCTGCGTTCGTTCCTCAGGAGACACGAGAAGCAAGGAAGTCATCCAGTAAGCAGGTTGAAGAACATGTCTTGTCAGGAAGGGAGAAACGATTGGCTGAGCAGGTGTCCTCATACAATGTAAGTCAGAGAATAAAATATTCAACCTTTAACTTTTTTCTATCTTTTAATGTTCCTCATTTTTTCTTTTTCTTGTTTCTCTTTCTTTTACATGTCTGAACTCTGTTGTGTATGTATTTATGTAAAATCCTTTTGTATAGGGTTTTTTAATGTATCTTATGTAATATTCTTAGTTAATTTTTTTACTTAAATCATATATCAGAAATTTAATTCCTAGAGATTGGTAGCATGTGATCAGAAAGTAAGAGCCCTACTAACTCCGAGAGAACCTCAATTCATACAATTTAAATTATAAGCACATGTGGAATGTTTGACCTAAAGATTTAAATGTGGGAAAAAATGTTTTTAAAATATGGTTCAATCAAAATTTATAAACTGAATAGTCAGTATTCATTTGACATATCATTATTTTGTTATATTCTTTTACTAGAGAAAAATAAACTGGTGTTCCAGCTCAAAGAATAAACATCAGTCATTGAACACATTGGCCCATGAAAAGTGTTCAGGTGTTCAGGAAAATTACCTTCTGTTCCCAAAATATTAGTTAACAAATATTTCAGAAACATTACAAATATAATGAGAATGATTTACTGGACATATGTAGACCAGTACCACAAACAGTGAAGCACACCTGAAACATTTTTTTTTTAAACTGACCAAAATCTCAACCTCCATGAAATATTTATGAAAACTGATGAGTTCTAAAGTCACATGTCAACAAAGTGAACGTCACAATCATTCAAGCTGTATTCCCTGACTACAGGGAATTTAAGTTAAAATTCAGATAACTTAAAAGTCTTATACAACAAGAAATTAGAAAATTCTTAAATTTAAACTTTGCATCAAAGAAGACATAATAATGAGGTTAGAGAATACCTAAACCAGGCCCGGCCAGTGTGGCTCAGTGGTTGAACATCGACCCATGCACCAAAAGGTCGCTGGTTCAATTCCTGGTCAGGGTCTGATCCCCAGTAAGGGGGTGGGGAGGTTATGCAGGAGGTGGCCAATCAATGTGCCTGCTCATCACTGTTCTCTGTCATCGTTGTTTCTCTCTCCCTCTAAAAATAAGTAAAGAAAACAAAATTAAAAAAAAAGAAAAGGCAAATACAGTCATCCCTCGCCACTTCGTGCTTCAACGGTGCCCATCAAAGAAAAACCAGACTGTCTACAATGAAATACTACTTAGCAATAAAAAGGAACAAATTACAAATATGTGTGACAACATTGGTGTTCTCAAATCATTGTGCTGAGTGAAAAAGTCTTGTATAAGACTTCCTACAGCCCTGGCCAGTTTAGCTCAGCGGTTAGAGCGTCGGCCTGGGGTCCTGAGAGACCCGGGTTCGGTTCCCGCTAAGGGCGCGTATCTCGGTTGCAGTTTGTCCCCGGCCCTGGTCGATTGTGCAGGTGGCAGCCACTCGATGTGTCCCTTTCACATCGATGTTTCTCTTTCTCTCTCTCTGTTCCTCTCTCTCCCCCTGTTCCTCTCCACCCCCCCCCACTCTACCTGAACAAAAAATGGAAAAATGTCCTCGGGTGAGGATAAAAAAAAAAGACTTCCTACACAAATCCTACTCTCTGATTCCATTTACATGAAGCTCTACCATATGCAAATCTATGGTGGAAAAAGCACAGCACTGGTGCTGGAGTGGGAATGTGGGGATTGAGTGGGAAGGGGCGTACGGAGCTTACTAGGGTGATGGAATTGTTCCAGATCTCGATAGGAATTTGAATTTTAAAATTTAGTCAATGTAATATTAAGATTTGTGCATTTCAGTGTGTATAGATTTACCTTTAATTTGCATGTAATGATTTGTGCAACTGACTTTAAAATACATAAAAAAATTAGGGTTTTAATCTCATACTGAAATTCTGCTTACCTATGAGATACACTTTTCAAAATATTAATATAGTTTTAAGACAACCACCTTATAATCCTTAGGTTTTTTGGGGGGGGGGGTTTTTTTAATCCTCACTCAAGGACATTTTTTTTTTTTTTGCATTTGTCTTCAGACAGAGCAGGAGAGAGAGAGAGAAACATCGATGTGAGAGAGACCCATCAACTGGTTGCTACCCACACGACCCCAACTGGAGCCTGGGACAAACTGCAACCAAGGTACATGCCCTTAGTGGGAACTGAACCCGGGACTCTCTGGTCCACTGTCCAACGCTCTAACTGCTGAGCCAAACTTAGTTTTGATCAGTTGAACACTATTTAAAATATTACCATGAAGAGAAAATAAAAAACAAGCTAGAACCTTAGCATGAATTTTCAAAAGTTACTATACACTATCCCATTTAACATAAATTACTATGGCTTTTATAAATTTTTATAAAACACGTTTTTGTTAAATGATTAAGTTGGGTAAATCAGCAAATTGGTGGTTTAGCAAATTGATCTCTACATGAATTGGTTTTCAGTGTGATTTTTAGTGAATTGTCTGTGTCTAGGTATTTTTACTATTGTTTTTTTTAACAGTCCTAGTAGTAGTTTGGTCATGTGTGTCACAATGTACAAATGATGCTGAACCAGACAGTACACCTGAAACAACAGATAGAACAAATTTGAGACCTTGAATTGTTTGAATTGATTATAATAGTCCAGTGATTTGATGTATTTCCTGTCTTCATTAATGTTTAATTTACTAAAACAGATACTCCCTGACTTTCAATGGGGTTATATCCCAATTAACCCATCGTAAGTTGACAATATCATTTAGTCAAAAATGCATTAATACACTTAACCTATCAAACATCACAGCTTAGCCTAGCTCACCTTAAATGTGCTCAGAACAAGTACATTAGCTTACAGTTGAGCAAAATCATCTAACACAAAGCTTGTTTTATAAGTGTTGAATATCTCATGTAATTAATTATGCATATTGCTTTCACACCACTACAGTCGAAAATCGTAAATTGAAATATATGTCGGGAACTGTGTATTGAGGATCAGTACATTAAAGTCTGCCATCTTTATTTCTCCAGTTTCGTTTGCTTTTTGTTACCTTTTGTACAGTTTTGCTCACCCTGTTTTTCAGTAGGGGCTCTGTATAAAGTAAGGCATCTACAACTTCTTTTTTTCTCACACCTCCTCCAAACTTTGTTCTGTTTTCTCCAGCTTTTTTTTTTATATCTTCAACTTTCTCTTCCAACTCTTGAGAGGCTGTCTAGACACCTTCATTATTGTTATCTCATTAATGAATTATTATTTTCCCATTAATAGGGAAAGAGGAAAATGTGGAGAAATAGTGCTAAAAGATGTAGTTTTTATAGTAGTGTTTTTGTATCTACATATTTATATATATTTGTATTACATTAAAGTTTACCATCCTAAAATTAACCCCACTCCACTTCTCTGTTGTGTTATTGTTCTCTGTTCTGTCTGTTAATACCAAACTCCCAGAAAGAATGATCTACATAGTGGGTTGTGCATCTGATGGGTACCCTGTATAAGAACCTGGGTGATTTTTTAAAGTGCAGGTTGCTGAGACCCACAGTTCACAATTATCATTCACTAAATTGACAGTAGGGCTCAGGAACCTATTTCTGTTCAACCAGTCAGTAATGGAGAACAGAGTCTTCAAGTGTTTCTACTTGGTGTCCCATAAAAGAAACTTTACTTGACATCTGAAATTTTTCATTGTTTCAATAGTTACCAAAGATGAATTTTTAGCATATTATAATTACTCTAGTAAATGTTTCAAATGGAATTTAAATACTATCTCAATTCAATATGTATTATTATCTATTAAAAATATAAATGAACAAGTGCTTCCTTAACAGTTGGAAATATATTTCATGCTTTTTTCTCCTTGAATTCATTTTATTTCTCTTCTGCCACAGAGTTTTATCCTAATGGAATTTACTTTTATGATTATATTTGATAAGTCCTATTTTACTGTAACAAACATGTATACATAAATTGAAATTGAAAACTTTTTTTCAATTTGTCTCTTAATGTTTACACTTCTTTTTACTTGTGGAGTAAGTTATAATTTCAGTTGACCAAAACAATGTAAACATATTGGAAATTTTGATAAATAGTTTTTAAATGTAAAAAACTGAAATGTAAATTTAATTTAATCTCTTAAAGACCTTTTTTCCAGTTAGTTTCTGGTCTTTCGATGAAAGTTGCTAGAATAAGACAAGTTTAAGTATCAAATATGTTCTTTTGTTTATTTGGGGGGTTGTTTTATTTTGTTTTATTGAGAGAAAGTGGGAGGAAGAGAGAGAGAAAAACATCAGTCAATTGGTTGCCTCCTGCACATACAACCTGGATATGTGCCCTGACTTGGAATCAAACCCGTGACTCTTCAGTGCATGTGACAACACTCAGCCAACTAAGCCACACCAGCCAGGGCTGTTCATTTGTTTCTGTAGTTAAGAGTTTTATAGTTAAGAGTTAAGAAACCATGTGTACATAAAGAAGTGGATGAGATGGAACACAATTTGTTACAGCAATGTAATTCAGTTCTTTAATCAATTTCTGAGTTATTTACTCTAATCTCATAGTGATCTATTAAAAAGTTAATCTTTCTCGATTATCAACTATCAACTTCAATTTTTTTTAGATAAAGTGGAAGGGAGGAAAAAGGAGAGAGATAAACATCGATGTGAGAGATACACATCGATTGGTTACCTCCCACACAACCCTAACAGGGGTTGGGAATCGAACTTGCAACCCAAGTACATGCCCTTGACCGGGAATCAAACCCACAACCCTTTTGTCCGAGGGCCAACGCTTTCTAACACTGAGCCAAACTGGCCAGGGCTCAACTTCAGTTTTTTTCACATTTTTATTCCATTAGTTCATTTTTCTTATTCTCTCTTTCCAAATCTGTATATTGAGAATTATCATATTTAATTTATATAGATATCATGAAGATTGCAATATAGTAAATACTCAGTAAATCTTAACATTTCTTGGGAGATTCTTATGTACCCACACTGTACTAAATCCTTTGTGTTCATTAGATCATTTAACTCCTCTCTTCACCCAAATATTTAAAAATTATTACCGTTATTTTATTAAATGGTAGTTACTAGTACCATTTTACAGCTGAGAAATTGAGGGCTTAACTTGCTTAAGTTGACTTGACTTGCTTAAGGTCACCAGTGTTAGAAACAGTAGGACCATCATTGCAACCCAAATTTTTCTGAATTCAGAACTTAAGTTATTAGCTATTTCTCCATGCTGTACATATTGACAACCTGGTGTTTTGTTTTTTTTGTTTTTTTACCATTATTTGAATTTTTTTTACCTGTTTCATTAAAAATTAAGAACTGGAAAGTACTGGAGTTGCAAATCAATTTGTTTCTAAAAACTTTACCAAGATTTATTTATGAAATTAGAAGGATTGGGAAAATGGAAATGAAAACTTAAATATTTAGTAATATAGCATCTTTTGTACATTTGCTAAAAATTTATAGCTCCAGATTGGGCTCATTCATTTATAAGAAATAACTACAACATAACCTAATTGACAAAGTCAGTTCTGGTCGTCAAATCAACCAAGTCAGACTTACTTTCTGTCAGAAAGTTTGACTTCATTTTCCCACTCAAACAGATGTGTTAATGGTCATTCTTATAACACTGCTGAATTCTGAACAGGGTTGGTGGATACCAGGAGTTTGTCTCTTGCATGAAATAAGATGCTACCACCTTCAACATTTCTTACCACTGCCTTGTTATTTGGCTTTCACTGGACTGTCTTCATGAGAGTCTTTGCTCTCAAGTACATTCTTTGACAGGGCAGGGCCTGGAAGAGAAGAGGTATGTTAAGCAAAAATTGTTCTTTCTTCCATTGCCCCACTCTTTAGTATATTTTAACTCAGAACATTCCAACAAGAGCCAAAACACCCATTTCGAAAGGACATTACACTCTTAAGAGAATTGTGTTTAAATCAAAAAGGACACAGAGCTCTTCCTTGATTAGAGGAAGTTTCACTCATACTAGTATTTCAGATTTTTTTTGTTTGATGCCCTGGAGACTTGCTCTCTTACACAGTATTCTGTAGTAAGATGCTGAAAGTCCTCACCTTTGCTACATAGGAAGAGGCTATAAAATAAGGGGAGACAGTAACCCAAGATGCATTACTGGGCAAATCAATTTTAAATAAGCCTACCTGAAGAAGTTGAGAATCATGGGTGGCTAACCTTAAAATTATCCATGCCTTTATACCATGTGGAATCCATTCTGTGTAGCCCCTAGGGACACATGTACCCCAGTCTGAAGGCTGCTAGTCTGTACTACCTGTATCTACTCCTGCAGCTCCCTCCCTGTTTCCTCCATCCAGGGCCATTCTGTCTTTTACTTAAATCAGGACCTAAAGGTTTATAATGAATCTCTAATTTATGAAACCAATTGCCTTTGCTCGGACCTCATCCTTTGATATATATGTTAAAATGTGAACACCTGCCCCAACTAAGAAGGAAGAAAATGTCTCCAGATTGGGCTCCAGGTAAGAGAAAGAACTGAAAGGAACAAAAAGTCTTGTGTAGGGACTATGCCAGCGTATCCTGCACAGGCCTTGAATTGTGTCCCCTCTGTGCCATTATTTTCTGGTTTGCCCTTATTTTGCTTCAGCCTGGCTGTGCCCTTCCCTTCCTAGTCACTTGGGTAGGCTTCAGGGACCAGCACATCCATAGAGCTTTAAAACCAGGCTGCCAAGTGAGAATGAAATTGCTCTTTCTTTGTCGCCCATTGTCTTGATTTGGACTCTAACTTTGAAACATCACACAATGCTTTTCTTTATGATTGTTTTAACATTTGCTTCCTTTCTGTCTTGCTCTTTTTGTGTGTGGCATGTAGTTAGTAGATGTCTTCATTTTGGCTTAATTAAATTAGCCTCTGATACATGTTTTCTCATAGATGCTGTCTTGGATTTGGAAAATTCTATTGGGGTTTGTAGATAGCCCTCAATGTTCACCATTACTATGCAACTGTTTCACTATCATGTTCTGTCGATAATCTATACCAAATAAGATTTTTATTTCTACTCTCTTACTTTCCCCAGGAATCAAAAAGATCAGAATCTCTTATGGACATTCATCAAAAAAAAATAAAGAATAAGGCTGCTGAAGATAAAAATAAGCCCCAAGAAAGAATACCATTTGACCGTGATAAGGATCTCAAGGTTCATCGGTTTGATGAAGCTCAGAAAAAAGCCCTAATAAAAAGGTCTAGAGAATTAAACACAAGATTTTCACATGGCAAAGGCAATATGTTTTTATAAGTAAGTATATTTCAGTGAGATATATTTTTATATTGATAAATTTGAACTTCCCTAACAAATTTTGTCTATAAATAATTATGTACAAAAATCTCTTTCCTTTTATAATAAAGTGCATTATAAATCCTGCAAATCTTTTTTATAAGTAAACTGATTTTTTGAAAATTTAGCCTTTTAGGCTTAAAAATGTGGTTTATGGAAAAGTAGCCTTGTCCTCATAATAACCTAACAGAGTATCACTATTAAAAATGCTATAATAAAAGTTTAGTTTATGAGAAATGGAGAGTGTAAAGAATGAAGAAAGGAGGTTTTTTAGTAGTCTTATGTTAAATAAGATCACAATAAAAAATGTTCACTGCTTTTGCAGGTTCTAAATAAAAGGTTCAAAACCATCACATCATTTATAGTCCAAACTGACAAGGGTTCATAGTGGTGATTTAAGAATTAACTCAAAAACTAATGCTACTTCTTAAAAATATGATTTTTTTTTAATGGTATGAAAATCTACATTCATAATAAAATGTAGCTTTAAGGAAAATACAGTCAAAGTTAGAAATATTTTCCAACTTACTGAATTTTCTTATTCTTATTCAGGGGGATCTCTCTGTGCAATGAAGATCAGTTGAAGAATACTTTTTATCTGTCTGTCCACTTTATTCCTTCATTCTAAATTTCTTAAGACTAGAGATTACTTTAGTCTTAAAAACCATATAAACTCACCTTGTTCTGTGACCTGTAAAGTCACACAGAAACATAAAATTGGTGTTTCTTATGTAGAATAGGTTATGTCTTTGGCTTCTGAGAAAGTGTGGGCTTTTCTTCAACTAATTATTCTGAGGATTCCCCCTGCCACGCCTTAATTTTTGTGATGTCTCACAAGTGTTCCCTCAGACCTGGTCAGGACTGTCCACTGAATCTCTGCCACAGCCTGGACCTCTCCCTCAGATGTACCAGCCTGCCCTGGAGCCAGTGTGCCAGGTCCTGCCAGTCAGTCCGGGACTTTGAAATTGTTCAGGTATTCCCTTTCAACTGCAGCTGGTGAATACAGAAGATTCAGAGCTTTGACTGTTTCATAAATGGTTTGCTTGTTTGGGCAAACCAGGGCTTTTTATTTGTTGTTTGGGGGGGGTTGTTTTTTGGTGTGTTTGGGGTTTTTTGTTTATTTGTGTTTTTAATGATTTTTTAGAGAGAGAGGAATGGAGAGAGAGAGAGAGAAACATTCATGTGAGAGAGAAACATCAGTCGGCTGCCTCCTGCATACTCCCTACTAGGGATCAAGCCCACAACCCAGGCATGTGCCCTGACCGGGAATCAAACCGGAGCCTCTTAGTTCATGGAACGACACTCAAGCCACTGAGCCACACTGGCCGGGTGGTGTGTTTGTTTTTAAATAAGAGGAATCTCTGTGTCATCTCATGTGCTAAGGAAAAAGTATTTGATTTTTTTCAACTTTATTAAGTTTTTCTAGGGGAGACAATCTGAAGAACAAGACATGCCATTGACCCTGGCTGGGTTGTTGGTTGGAGCATCATTGCTCCAATAGCCAAGGTTGTGGGTTCGCTCCCCTGTCAGAACACATGCAAGAATCTACTAGTGAATGCATCAAAATTGGAACATGTTTCTCACTCTCTCTAAAATCAATAAAATAAAATTTAAAAAGACATGCCATTAACCATGAGCAGTGTGAAGTCTCTTGGCTCCCAACCAGAGCTTTCTAAGTCTATAAATTCTGCTTCCAGATTATTTCACTTTACCCATTTATATTTAGCAGATTTTTAGCTAATTTATTGGGGACAGATCTTTTATATCAGTTATAAATGGCCTTTTTTAAAAAACCAAACAAAACTGTAATCACCGTAATGGAGCATTTTAAGTTTGTAATGCTGTAAGTACTTCCTTTTTAGATCTTCAGTAGAAAACTCTTAAGTAGTTAAAGCCTAAATTCAAATTCTGTAAGCTATATCGTCTTACAGATTAGTACTAACTGTTCTGCTAGTTTTGTGTTCTTTGTTGATAAAGCACAAGGTTTTAATGGGAAAAGATCCTGATTCCTAGTTCATTTAGGCTTTATGAAAAATTGAGTAAACTATTCCAAGAATGCTACAAATTATTCTTTTTGTTTTGTTTTATTTTGTTTATTGATTTTGGAGAGAGAGGGAGGGAGAGAGAAACATCGATGAGAGAGAACATCGACTGGCCGCCTCCTGCATGCCCCCCATGAGGGATTGGGCCCACAACCCAGGCATGTGCCCTGACCAGAAATCGAACAAGCAACCTCTTGGTGCATGGGCCAGTGCTCTACTACTGAGCCACACCGGCTGGGCTACAAAGTATTCTTTTAATCATAGCAGTACAGTGATATTTTCCTTATCATCTGTGTAAATAGTAGCTCAGTCAAGAGTGTTGCTATTAAAAAGATGAATTATTCATGAAAAGACTTCTTGTGTAAACAATTGAACAGAGCTACGTTTTGACTAAAGATACCTTTTTCTGCGGGCGGTATTGTCTCAGAATAAACTTTGTGCAAGAGCATCCATTGCTTTCATTTAATGTCATAATTTTTTTCCTCAGTGAAAGGAAGGAATGTTTTCCATTTCCTAATCCTTCTATAAATTCCTAACATATTTTGGAAAATCTGTAAAAAAGTAAAAAAGTCATCTTTGGATAGATACTTATTTTTGCTTTGCTTTTATCCTAAGAGCATAGGGATATTTCTATATTACATGTTTACTATTTCTTCCCTCATCCTTGGAGTGTTCATGACCTTCGCAAAAGGGGGTAAAGTCTCTTCCTTCCCATGAGTTAGCATCTTCCTGCCACCTCGCATCTGATGCTCCTTCTTGCCACCCTGAGTCCACTTTAATAAAATGTGAGGCCAGACCAGAGGTTTTTTGCCCCATGGAGAGACTAAACCCAGTATAACAACACTGACAGTGAACGAGCAGAGGAACCGTCTGCACGGAGGGAAAGGTATTCGTTCCATCTCTCCCACACCGCACGAGGCCTGGTTAAATCAAGTCTCCTCTCCATCTGGTAGAGAAGTGAGATTGTTGGCATTTTCTAATAAGAACATTTTAATGTCCTGCACTTCTTGGCCAAGTTTTATAGAACTGTGACCTCCTTTGAAACAAAAATGAAGAAGAAAAAGAGCACTAAGTTCAAAAACTGTTGAAGGTGATATTTGAGTTTATTGTACCTAAATTATATGATTTTGTTCACTTTTCTAAATTGTCATTTGAAATAAATGTAGGTGCTTCAAATAGTAATCATATGACTGTTAAATAGATGGTGACTTTCGCAATGGCGGTGGGGGGGGCAGAAGATGAGAGAGGGTGGCTAAATCCATAATAAGACTTATATCAGATAAATTAAATTCTTTTTATATTGGGCAAAACATCATAAATTAAGCCCTGCTCTAAAAAAAAAAAGCCATGTCTTACTAAGCATTTTTAATCTTGTTTGGATGTAGGAATCACATGAACATTTAAAGCTTCTTTGAATTAATGGGTTTTTTTTTAGAAGTGAGGTTGACATGTACATGATACTGAGGCTTACGTGCTTCAGAACACATAAATGGTTATTATATAAGTTATTTGTTTCTTATATAGGGTGGATAATGTTAATATTATTACTCAGATATGTATGATCAAGGGAGATCATTTTTAAACTATTTACAAGCGCCCTTATGCCTCTCCACTCTCTCATGATAACGTGAGGGAAAACATTCTCTGTGGAGTTACATACCTAAGACGAAGAACTGACGTGGGGGGCAGTGGTTAGAGATCGTACCCATGTGGCATCAGAGCCAAGTCTTCTATTCCAGAATATGGATTTAGTTTACTCTGACTTTTGATACCATGATGTGATCTAAGTCTGCAGTTACAAAATGTCATGCATTTTCTATTATAGAGAGGTATATTTTTTGCAGCTTAGGCTAACTGACTGGAGTATGTACAGAATTAAAAGGCTATCTACTGCCCCTTCCAATCTTTTCATTTTGAACTTAAAAGACTTTTTAGAATAGAGTTCCCGAGGTGTAATTTTTTTATGTATAAATAAAGTATCATCTATATCTGAGAAGTTGTGGTCTTCTATTTTTGTTTTGTCTTAGTTTATCTCAAACAGGCAATATTGATAAAGAGAATATCCTGTAAAGATTATTCTGTCCAACCAGATCACTGCGGGCTATTGTGGAAAAAAGTCTTTAACCCCAACTTACTTGTCAGGTTTTCCTTATCCCACTATAACTGCATAACTGTTTATTTAGAAATGCAAGATGGACTTCCAGTCAAGATGGTGGCATAGATAAACATGGTATCATGCCCTCCCACAACCACATCAAAGTTACAACTTAACTACAGAACAACCATCATTCAAAACCGCCTGAAATCAAGCTGAATGGAAGTCCTACAACTATGGAATTAAAGCAGCAACCACATCGAGACTGGTAGGAGGGGCGGAGGTGGACGGGCTGGTCCCACCCCCACGTGTAGCAGGTAAAAATCAGGAGGACACCTCGGTTGGGAAGGTCCTCCCTGAGGACTGAGGTGTCCTAGTCCCACACCAGGCACCTCACTCAGGGTTCCAGTGCCAGGAAGAGAATCCCCATCACTTCTGGCTGGAAAAACCAGCGGGAACTGAGGCTCAGGGAGGCTAAGGCGGCTGGAGCCCCAGGCAGCTCCTTAAAGGGCCCGCACACAGACTTATTGGACTCTCTCCTTCTAAGCTCAGAGGGGAGGCAGCTCGAGGGGCGCCAGAGACATACAGGGAAGAACTGAGCTGTTTTGAACTGGAGCGAGGGCTGGACAGGGGGCTTTCTCCGGGACAAACGTGCTGTAAGAGGCCTTTGTTCCTTTGGTGAGCCCTTCCCTTGGGCAGCAGACAATCGCCATATCTGGGACTCCAGCAACTTGGCTCACACTGGTAGCCCCGCCCTGGTGATTCCCTGAGGCCCCGCCCCACCCAACTTTCAGGCCCACCCAAGCTGTTGCCAGTTGCTTAACCATAGGATTGGCCCGTCTTGGATTCTGCTTCAGGTTTTCCTAAATTCTTTCAAACAAGCAGCATCTGGTCTCAGATAGCCCCATACCTCTTGTTAAATAATACACAGAAACAAACACAGGGAGGCAGCCAAAATGAGGAGACAAAGAAACAGGTCCCGAATGAAAGAACAGAACAAAACCCCAAGAAAAGAACTAAGCAAAATGGAGATAAGCAACCTAACAGATGCTGAGTTCAAAATACTGCTTATAAGGATGCTCAATGAACTTAGTGAGAACCTCAGTGAACTTAGGGAGGGCCTCAAGAGCATAAAAAAGGACCAGTCAGAAATGATGGATGCACAGTCGGAAATGAAGGAGGCATTAACTGATATAAAGAATAATTTACACAGATTCAATAGTAGAGTAGGTAAATCCAAGAAGCAAACCATTGGTTTGGATTATAAGGAAGCAAAAAAACGCCCAAACAGAACAGCAAAAAGAAAAAAGAATCCAAAAAAAGAGAGAATAGTGTAAGGAGCCTCTGGAACAACTTCAAGCATGCCAACATTCGCATCTTGAGGTGCCAGAAGGAGAAGAGAGAGAACAAGAAATTGAAAGCCTGTTTGAAACAATAATGGCAGAAAACTTCCCTAACTTGGTGAAGGAAACAGACACACATGTCCAAGAAGCATAGAGAGTCCCAAACAAGATGAACCCCAAGAGACCCACACCAAGACACATCATCATCAAAATGCAAAAGGTTCAAGACAAAGACAGAATCTTAAAAGCAGCAAGAAAAAAGTAGATAGTTACCTACAAGGGCGTTCCCATAAGGCTGTCAGTTGATTTCTCAAAAGAAACTTTGCAGGCCAGAAGGGAGTGGCCAGAAATATTCAGAGTGATGAAAAGCAAGAACCTACAACCAAGATTACTCTATCCTGCAAAGCTGTCATTTAGAAGCGATGGCCATATAAAGAGTTTCCCAGACAAGAAAAAGTTAAAGGAGTTCATCACCACCAAACCGTTATTATATGAAATGATGAAGGGTCTTTTTGAAGAAAAAGATGAAATATATGAACAAACAAAATGGCAGTGAATGCATATCTTTCGATGCAATGGGATCTACAAACAAAATGAACAGATAGAACAGAAACATTCTCATAGATACCGAGAACATCTTGTTGG